TCTGTATTTCTGTCTCTTCGCACGTAAGATAGCGCGCTAGGAATGGCAATACAGAGGCTCGATAAGCCGATGTGCGACAGGGTATAAGACGGAAGTTGCGGCGCATCGGGCGGGAAGACTTGGCAGCCATAAGATCGGAATGTAGGGGATGGGCAACGTCATCTAGAATTCGACCAGCAAATTGCTTGACCGCATTGAAGTGTCGTTGTATGTAGGGGATGGGCAACGTCATCTAGAATTCGACCAGCAAATTGCTTGACCGCATTGAAGTGTCGTTGTAAGATTGTGTCAACTAAAAAAATATGAGAAACGCCAGCAGCAGAAGAGAGCATGCGAAGGATTCGTTTCAAAATTAAAAGATCCTTTTTTAATAGAGCAGGAAAAACGACAGGAGAACAGTATAGGATAAGAGGAAGAATGCAGGCATCAATGAATCGCCAGACTAAGGGTTGAGGTGTGTAGTAGGAACGCAAACGACGAATGTAGTAAAGGAGTTTACGAACTTTAATAAATATGGACTCAATATGGAGGGAAAAAGAAAGATTTGAGGACAAAGTAACGCCGAGATACCTGAAAGAGGATACCTCATTAGGAAGAATGTCAGAGGAATCAGGGTTAGGAGAGGGCCGCAGTCGAAAAATACACTGAACGGATTTTTGGTTGTTAATTAGGAGACCATTTTCCTCCGACCACGCTAGGACATGGTTTAGGCCATCCTTTAGAGACCGGAGGTGTGTCTGAATTTTGATAGGGTGTCCAACAACCACATCGTCAGCATACTTGATCAGAAGACAGTCATTAGGGGACCTGAGATCATCAGTGTGGAGGGAGAAAAGGTGAGGGGATAGAATGGAACCTTGAAGAACACCGCAGTCATTGGGAAGGGTCGAAGATTTTCGCTTGCCAGATTGGACAAATTGGGTGCGGAAGCTAAAATAATCGCTCAGCCAAGAGACGACCCAGCCTGGAGAGCCACATGCGGAGGTTTTGGAAAGGAGAAGAGGACGCGGGACGGTATTGAAGGCGGAGGAGTAATCAAGAAAAGCGCACGCATACTCGCGGCAACCCTTGTCTAATGCTTTTAGAGCAGAGTGGACCACAAGAGCGACAGCATCTAAAGTACTCCGTTTAGCTTTGTATGCAAATTGTAAGGGGTCGGAAAAACTGGAAGAAAAAGGCTTTATGATATCTAGAGCAACTCTTTCAGCAAGCTTTAGTATTGCAGAGGAGCAGGCAATTGGGCGAAAAGATTTAGGACCAAAGTTAGCAGGCTTTTTAGGGATGGGAGTGATTCTCACTGTACGCCAGGCGTCGGGAATCTTGGACTCCATGAAAGACATATTGATTAGGTGCGTTAAAATAGGGGCTATCTGAGAACTGCAAGATTTAAGAAGAAAAGGCGAGACACCATCCGGTCCGGCAGCTGTTGATCCACGGACCTTTTTAAGGTGTTTCTCTACTGTTGCCAAAGACACGGGTTTGTGCAATTTTGGCAGTCCATATAGTCTGCGAATATGCGACCCTACAGGCCTAAGACACGCAGCCAAACTCTCGTCTATTATTTGCTTTTCAAGTAACGATCTGAGCTTTTTCCCAATAAGGTCTTCTAGCGCTTTTGTTTCTTCTTTCTCATGGGCTTCCAAGGAAAATTTGCTGGAGTCACTCAATATCGCTTCCATCTTTCTCACGTAATCAGTCTTGTTTAGGATCACGACCCCGCTTCCTTTGTCAGGTCTTGAGATGACGACCTCAGTTGTCTTACGTAGGTCAGTTAGGTCCGAGATGTGTTGTCTAGTTAGCAGTGAGCGTTGCGTAGTCGGGAAAGTTCTGTATTGATAGGCGATATCTACGAATTTCGCTTTCAACCATCTCACATTGCCCTCTGACGTCGGTGTTAATTCCGATAATTGGTGATATAGGTCTTCAAATTGAGCCTCAATCTCCGTCGGATCTATTTTTCTTCTCGGCACACAAAACTTAAGTTCTAAAGAGAGGGCCTCGGCTTGCAGTTTAGTCAGTTTCAAATTCGACATGTTGACAATGTAGTCATCTGGATTTACTGGAAACGATTCGTCTACGGGTTGTCTATTTAGCGACTTCATCAGATCAGCGTGGGACGATTGTCTTACTTTAGCTTGTAAGTTCAGAACGTATTTTGTAAACAATAACCAACACATTGGACTCACCGAGTCCATCACATGCTGTGACTGGTCTAGCTGGCAGCGTATATTTGAGAGTGAGTATTCGCATTCCTCCATTTTCGAGAGGGCGAGACGATCAAGGTTTTGTAGTGTGGGCCGCATGCCATCTCTTCGGAGGGTGTCGCTTAGTTGGCGAGGGTAAGTCCGAGTCTGTCTGCATGATTGTAGGAATTCATATCTAGTCTTTTCTCGGGTGATCTTGCATCTTATTCTGACGACCTGATCTAGCGACTTGATGAGAGGGGCCGGGAGGCATCTTTTCAGTAGATTGAAACAATGTTTTCCCGGGATAAATTTGAACAAGGCAAAGGCGACAAAGCACGCAGAATTTACTGACGTGCTGCGTGCTTTGTCGCCTTTGCCTTGTTCAAATTTATCCCGGGAAAACATTGTTTCAATCACAGGTTATTTAAAACCGTCAAAGAATCTGCCGCTTGAATAGGAGCGAAATTCATCCTATAAGGTAAATGTAAGTAAACGGAATAGTAGAAAATAGGAGGATGGCTAGGATGACGGTTTCTGCACATCTCAATCGGCTTATTTGCATTTATGGAACAAATTCTGACCTAATGCAGCCAGGACATTCTTTGGCATTTTCAACCAATTGCATTGAGCCAAAGCAGTCTACCGTGCAGCGGAATATATGTTTGATATGGTTCTGGTGAAGTACGTATTCGAAATCAAATAGCAAGTACGTAAAATCCATCGTCGATGAATTTCGAGCATCAATCCGGTTCAGAAACTAATTGACTTCAGATCACAATAAGGAAAGCCTATCTACCAAATCCAAATCCAGTTCTGGCATGCTGAAGCCTTCAGCGATGCAGATGGAGGAGATTTGGTATTTTTGACCTTTGGGATTTATGATTACTCCCTAAACTATTGAATTCCAGATCTTCAATTCGCATGATTATCACACCAGAAACACTGTTGAGTTATCAAGTGCGTAGATGTGCCCAAACCAAATGAAAAACTTAGCTAGAAGTATGCTTTTTCTTTTTATGAAGAAGGGCCCTCATCGGCCGAATTACTCTCTCTCTCTCTCTCTGACAGAGGCGGACGCGCTTCTTCTGCAAATGTGCTCAACTGTCGGACTAACAGACTCTTCGCCCTTTTCACGCTTTTAGGCCATTTTCATTCTCAATGTTTACCTATACTCAGTAGTGTTTTAGTCGACAGCCACGTAGAGTGGCCATGAATTATTTTTTTCGGACAGATGCCGCAGAGAATGGTCCTGATAACGATGACATTTCCTATTAATGACGCATAACATGTCTACGCTGAGTCAAAATTCTGGTTGCGCTCAAAAAAGTGCCTCGGACAAATAACTTGCGCAGTTAACAGGATATTCCATAAGGGATAGCACAGGTTATAGCTACATACCTGTATTTACTCAATACCGAAGTGCCTTTCAATTGATCCGGTCGTATAGAGAAAAATACTAGTTTCTTTTTGCTCTGGAGTCCTATCAACAGTCCTCGCGGACAGTGATGTGACGACAAGCAGTTCAGGAATAACGAAAAAAAAGCGGGAGATTTAAGCAACAACTACACGCCTAATTAATTCGCAGGTTAAAGGTCAATTTTTTTAAACTAAAACTCAATAGTCGAGAATGTCGAGCTTGGAGCTCAGGTTACGCAAAAAGTGCCTAGGAATCTGCTGTCTGAGTAGGGTTCAAATTTATTCCATAGAGAAAATGCGATGAACTTCCAGCATCTGTCTGGTCCAGAAATGAACTGACATTATATAACAACATAGAGTGGGTATCTATAAAGACCAAATTAAATTCTGACATACTGAACCCTTCAGCGACGCAGGCGGAGGAGATTTTGCATGTTTGGCCTTTGGGATTTAGAATTACTCCCCAACTACTGAATTCCAGGTTTTCAATCTGCCTGATTATCGCATCAGTTTACACATTATTGTGGAGATGACTCTTGAGGAAGCGGGTTTATTTTGAGACACTGTCTCTTTCAGGGAATCTGATTCGATGGCAAGTTGATACGATCGCGAGTCAGTGCGAATGTGTATAGTGGTTGAAATGTCACCCTCTTGTTAATACGCATCTATTACCGTCTAGTCGTAGAGTTAAGTAGTTTGGGATTTAAGCAAAGTGAAATGTTTGCAGTGGCTTCGTCGCGAAATGTAGATTTCCGCACAGTTGCGATATTACAAGTAAGAAATCAGGCGACAGGTATCGGAGGATAGGAAATGCATGGCCAGTGCTCGCTGAAGACGCATGTCAAAATGACAGTCGGCCTCGCTAGTCGGATGCCGGTGCGGATGCTGAGGGGGCGAGCTCAAGGGTTGATACTGCGCATTTCATATGTGAATTTATCAAAATACATAGAGCGAACAACACGCCCAAGTTCATTTTACGGCTTCAAGGGAGTATCCAGCCGTGTAAATTGGAAAGACTGTGTTTGTATAAAAAATACCATACTTGGGAGCGCAGGTACTGTCCAAAATACCCAGACACGTGCTTTGATGATATTCTGCCACTGTATGACAGCTGCAATGGGTTGACCTCATCACTTAGTCTTCCAGCGTTTCCCCCTGTGCCTTCTGGTGGGTACTCCAGTTCTGAAATCGCTCCAGTCTGCTGAAATTTAGCGACTGATTTCTGAAGTATCTACCAGGACGCATACAGGAAACGCTGGGGACCCCCTGAGAGTCGAACTTCTCGCAGCTGCACCTGCTGACTTCGGGACCATTTGGATTTAACATTACTCTCCAACTACTGAATTCCAAATCTTCAATTTGCATAATTATCACGTCAGTTTTCACATGATTGTAGAGATGCCTCTTACACGGAACTGCACACACCGCCAAGTAAGTGGCTTTATTTTGAGGCACTGTCTCTTTCAGGGGATCTGGCTCGATGGCAAGTGGATACGATTGCGAGTCGGTATAATGACCGAAATGTAACCTCCCCCTTAATGCGCACCTATTATCGTCTAGCCATCGAGTTAAGTACTTTGGGATTTAGGTAGGGCGAAGTGTTTGCGGTGACTTTGTCCAGAATTGGAAGTTTCCGTGCACTTACGATAATACAAGTAAGAAAGCAGGAGACAGGTATAGGAGTATAGGAGATTCATGACCAGTGCTTGCCGCAAACGCATGTTGAGATGGCAATTTGCTTTACTAGCCAGGTTCCGATGCATGATGCCTAGGTCGTGAGCACGAGTATTAATCCCGCCCATTTCGTTTGTGAGTTTCTCAAACCACATCGAGCAACCAACACACCGAAGCTTGCCTTACGGCTTCAAAGGAGGATGCAGCCGTGAAAGCTAAAAGAACTGTGGCAGATTATGTGAGGTAGTCTTCTGAACACAGTTGCGGCTCTCGCAGAAACACGTACAGACGCACACACACACACACACACACACACTCACGCTGACTCCCCCCCAATCAGATTTCGCTCACGACAAGAGTTGGTATGTATGTGTGTCTATAAGGACCGTTTAGTGGAATATCAGCTACAACTCGCAATCTTGCTCTCACTTACATAGGAACTACCAGCAGAGGTGAGTTATGTAACTGGAACCCTATAATAAATTGGTCAGTACATTTTTTGCGCAATTTCGCACCATCTGCATAATGGACATGCCTAATCCTTTAGAATAAGCTCATGACTATTACTGAGGAAAACGAAAAAGATTAACTGTACAGCAGCAATATGAATCGGGTTTTTTTTCGGGTGACTGGAAAACATGAAATAAAGAGGGATAAGAAATCGGTTGGGCGCGGGAATATGAAATCCAATATTACTGATGGCCTTGTCCCAGATTCTGGAGATTAATAAGTAACGAATAGATGCGAATATGCGCGCGCGATTACCGTGCCTGGGCAAAAGAACATGCACTTAGAGAGCACCGGTCTTCGCGGAAGAATTCTTCTAGTCGATTCGAGCTTTTCCCTGAGGGCGTTTTAAATTTAACTACTTCCTAGGAGCTAACTTGCCTGAAGGAACAATGGCGAGGTTGATTCTCCGGAAGCTTTCTGCTCTAGAAAAAGAGTCCTATGGTTTCATGTGCTATTTCTCCCAGTCTAGGTTTTCATATGATGGTAGACATTCGAAAATATGCCTTATCTCCGTCTGCAAAGTTTATCCATTATTATTTGGAAGTGAAACGAAATTTTACATCGGAAATGTGATGAAATTAATTTCATTAAGCATGTTTTTACTAAAAGAAAGTAAGAAATTGCGGCAGAAAGCTCAGAAAATCAAAACGAGAAAGTGTGAGAGTGAGATTCGAACGTTTTCGCAAAAAGGTGTCATCAGTATGCTGGACGAACAAGCGTCAGTTTTTCGAGAAGTTATTTTTCGGTTAACGAGACCCAGAAGATACTGCGCCTCATTCGTGTGATCCCATCTAAGATCCTTTATGGCCAATTGTCGTCCCGACGACCTTTAGTTTGACTTATTATTGTTTCCATATCGAGTTTCACAAGGTGGTATGAATGCCCCACAACATAATATTCCAAGCAAAGGTGGAGGGGCGATCTACCATTGTATACTCCCGATCGAAACCGACAAGACAACGATCCCGTGGCTCAGTGGTTAGAGGCGTTGGACTTCTAACTAAAAAGTCGCGAGTTCGAGGCCCAGGTGTTCCACACTTCGGGGTTGGGTATGACTGGCTGACGATGGCTAATAAGCCAGAAATGGCCATTCCCGTCCCCCTTGTAGTTGTTGGTAATACCACTCTGCCTATCCCAAACAAGCACTGCGGACTGCAGTGTGTGCTGCTCGCCCACCCGAAATGCTTGCCCTCTAAAATCAGATCTTCGTGTGTGTTCGATAGGGGGCAAATATGGATACCGTTTGGACAGAAACTTTCCGAAAGACTCCCCTTTTTCATAACCGTACCCTGCGTTTCACCTTCTGAGGTCCTCCGTCTACCGCAAACGAAATGCCCTTGCGTTGTCTCTAAATTAAATTTCTCAGCACACCCCAGTTCATTGTGTGACAATAAGTTTAGGCGCCAAAGGCCTACATTCAACATTAATTCCTAACTTCCTATTGGTTAGGTTCTTTTGGCGTGTAAATAGGGCATTCCGGATATTTACCGATTAATGATGCGACCGTCCACGGCGACCGGAGGTTGAACTTCGTAGGGAAAGCGGAATCGCCTGTACTCTATTTCACAGTCAGGATAGACCTATAGGCGACACATTCAAGTGACTTGGAATTTACCGAGTTGCAGTTACAGTAGGTGGGCTAACTCGTGAAATGTCAATCGAAATTTCGGAATGCGTTTTCGTTTGGAAAAGATTAATTAAGTAGGGTTGTAAAACTAATCATTATGCAGCAAAATTCTGAAATAATTCAGTTACATCAAGGTGTTGGCTTTCGAATACACTTATTTCCGACTGCATGCAAGAACTACACTCTGCAAAAATTGACTACTTAAGTAGCATGCAATTTTCTCATTGAGTTTCGATGCCCTTGCAAATTCCATTATATTTAATGGAAAACATGCATAAAAATATTCATTCTTTTGTTCATTCGGTAGAAAATCACGTCTGCTTTGGATTTTATACTCGAAAAAATAGTACAATTCGGTTTTAAGAAACTTTTCTAATTCACGAATAATTTTGAACCCGCTCTACCGTCACACTTGGATTCAGGGTTTCCAAACTACAAGCCGTATATTTTCCGTGTACGGAAAACCATACATTTCTCTACGGTATTAAGAGGAGACTATATGAGGTTCATAAAATTACGCAGTGGATTTGAGCAATATTGTTAACTTTACAAGCCACATTGGTAAATGCAGAGACATGACGTTTTAGGAACGGCCATTTCACGATATTTAACAATCTCACAATTAGAAATTTTTGAAATCGAATTATGCCCTTCTTTCGAGCATAGAATTGGAAAAAGACGTGATTTACCACCGGATGAGCAAAAGAATGAATATTTTATGCATTTTTTCCATGAAACATAATTGAACTTTCAAGGGCATCGAAAATCAATGAGAAAATTGCATGCTACTTAAATAGTCATTTTTTTCCAGAGTATAGTTCATGCATGCAGTCGGAAACAAGTTCATTTGAAAGCCTACACCCTGAGGTAACTAGGTCATTATAGAATTATGCTGCATGATGATTAGCATTACAACCGTACCTAAGTAATCTTTTCGAAACGGAAACGCATTTCGAAATTTCGGTTGACGTTTCATGATTTATCCCACCTACTCTAATAGAATGAAGGCGAGCTGAGTAAAGCAGAGTTCGCGTTCAAGCTCCGGAACTCCCCAGCCGACTGATAACAGTAAATTAGGCAGGAAAGGTATCTTGCCGTCCCTCTTGTCTTTTGTGCAATGCTTCTCACTTACCCCGTTGCTAGAAGACTGTGGAAAAAACTAATCATTGTGAAATGTTGCGCTACTGTTTCTGGCTGATAGGCTTTGCTTTGAGTTGCCAACATGTGTCAGACTTGTGAAATCTCCTTGTGTGGTGATGACGACAAAATCTCCATTGAACTCCTAGTTTTATGAAAAAAGAAAATTGCAGTCGCATGTGCGCTGCGTGTTTCCATCATACACAGCATCCAATTTACTGTGAAACGATCCCTTTTGCAGATCTAAAATGCACGTAAGTTTCCTTTTCTCGACGTTTTGTTCCTACACTACTTACCGCAAACGCATGATTTGGGTGGATTTTACGGTAGGACAGTCAGCGGCAGATTTAATTCAGCTGTTAACGCTGCGCTACTGAAAGTCGATCGATCAAATTTAAAAAAAACAAACCCTCGAGTGATAAGTAGATAAGATGTCGACCGCCACCAGCTTATCAAGTCTCGCGGCATCAGATAACGCAACCTGCTCTAACCGAGAGAGTCACGAACGTCCCGAGTGCCTTTTAAAAGCCACGAGAATCCTACTCATCGACCCTCCTAACCCATCCGGTACAGCCAACACTGCCACGATTGCAACCTGGGCACGGTAACACTGCATCTACGAAACATCTGTACGTCAAGCAGAATGACCGAGTTGGGCAATCGCACAAGTATGGTGGTAGCGCGCTCACCGAACAGGCTACGGGGCGTAACTTGATTGGTTCAAAAATCGACAGGACAACGGAACCGTGGTTCAATGGTAGAACGTTAAATTTAGTAACGGCTGATGACCAAAAATGCCGCAGAACTTGGATTTAAGGCCGACGATGATTACTAAGCCATAAATGACCATTCTAGTCCCCCGTTTACTTTTTGAGACTCCTTCCAGCAACAGAATAAGAATCATCTTCGATGGGAGAGCAGGTCGAACTGTTTGGAAGTTAAACAAATTCCTTTTTGGTATCCCGTCCAAAGTCTATGTTGCATACCGCGAGAAATTAAACAAACGCGTTAGATGCGTTCAACTTCGAGGATGCGTGTCTCCAAGCCAGCCACGTCTCTTTCGGCAATACGTATCCATCGGAACCGTGCAACAATTCTGAGCCCGAAGTTTTCTGGTCAAGGGGACCTCACCGATCGTTTTTACGGAAATCACTCGTTCCATTGTGCCTAAAGGCTCTCTCTCGAGGTCAACCGGCGGCCGCACAGCGGCGCAGGATATAGGCAGAATGGTATTACGGACAAAGACAAGGGAGGCTGGAATGGCCGTTTCTGGCTTATCAGCCGCCTTCAGCCAGTCGTATCCAACCCCGAAATGTAGAACACCCATTGTATGTTTCCGATCGCAACCGATAGGACAACGAGCCCGTGGCTCAATGGTTAGGGGCGTTGGATTTCTAACTAATAGGTCGCAGGATCGAGCCACAGGTACTCCACACTTCGGAGTTGGGCATAACTGGCTGACGTCGGCTGATAAGCCAGAAATGGCCATTCCAGTCTCCCTTGTCGTTTTCGGTAACACCATTCTGCGTATATCCTGCGGCGCTGTGTGGCTGCTGGTTGGACTCGAGAGAGAGAGAGTCCGTAAAAACGATCAGTGAGCGTTCCTCTACCGTTCTATAGGCATTATAGAGTATTATGTGGTTCTCCAGAGAAAGATATTACCTAAAACCCAGACAGTGTTTCGCCGATAGTCTGTCGCTGCGCGACACAGCTGCGAGGAGTTTCGCTCTTCAGTGGGTCTCCCAGCGTCCTATATGCGGTTTCTGGCATACGAACTCCAGAGAATAATCAAGCGAATAATTTCAGAAATTATTCAAAGCATAGCATGGATTTAAGTCTCAGGGATATGACTTTTTAATGTCAGACCCGAAGTTTTAATGAACTTTCGAGTCAAAAACCACGAACGTCTGTGTAATAACCATGTAGTACCAATTCTACAAACATGTAGTATTACAAGCCGCATTAACTCTATATGGCAAGGGCATTATACCATGCTGCAGACAAAATATCGGCAAAACACGTGTTTGGGTTTTTGGCTAGTACCCATGTCGGAGTACGGCATAATACCTTTGTCATATAGATTTCGTACGACTTGTAGTATTACTTGTTCGTAGAATGGGCATTACATGGTTGTTCCACAGAAGCTGATTGTCTCCGACTCGAATGTTTTAGAAATTTCGGGTGCGACCATAAAACGTCATGCCCAGGAGACTTAACTCCATGTCCTGCACTGAATAAATTCTGAAATCATTCGCTTGACATATATATTGATCAGGTTTTAGTGGGACGATGAAAGTTATGTTAGTTCTTGTTGACCACATCTGTGCTCCTTTCTGAACTTGGAGATACGCCTGCAGAAGCCGCCCACCCCTCATTATGAATGGATGTATCTAGATTAAAAAGCACCAGTATTAATGTTCGCTCATTTCGAAAAGTACGCTTGATATCTTGCTGTGTAAACATGTTATTAAACTTGCTCTCTGCGCATCTTATGTTTTGGCTTCTCGCATGTCGCTGGGTTCTAAACCATGCTAACGGAAGCAATTTCAAAGAGATGATAAAATGGTTGAGACTCTCGCGTCTGTTATGTATGCGTAAGCTGAAAATAACTCCGCAAAACTGAAAAAATTGTTCTTCAGAAGAGTCGTGGTCCGGCTTTTTAAATCCTGGCCGAACAGGGATCCAAGAGGTACCAGCGACGAATTATAGCGTGCTGGAGTAGGTAGCAATGGGCGAAGGGTTTCCACGATGTCTCTCGTCTTACCTATTCAAACACAGTTCACACTCGCAAGCATTTGTCAGTTGTCGTCGGCGCGTAACTTTTCATTCATCTGGTGGGGCCGTTTTGCAACGCAGAAGCTGAGGCTAAAGAAGGCACGGCACACCGTGGCGAACGCCTTGGAGCCCTTCAGCTGCCAATCAAACGAAACTCTATGGCCCCGAAGACACCTGCGCGCGCCTTCATCTTGATTGATTGATCGATAAAACTGCGCGCGACCGATGCAGCATAGCCTTATCAACGCGAACTTCGGAGCCAAGTGTAGGTGGTTTGGCGCTGAAGAATAGCACTTAAAAATGGATCGAAAGTAGAGTCCAGGTGTAGTCCTCATGCACTAGCTTAATACGTGAATTACTCTCGGTGAAACGAACTGCTTTAACCGGTTCCTCGACTAGCATTACAACTGAGTCTCTCAAAGGAGAAAATAGGGTCAAATAAAGGAAAAACGTCGTATACGTCAAAATCAGGTTTGTGTACGAAATGTACAGAAAATTAAGGACGCAGTGAAGCTTTAGGGTAGTTCGGAAGAAGCCCGTTCCTACTGCATGATCTTCGAAATTGTTTGCCTAAGATGATACCACTCCGCCAGTGCTGACAGTGCTAATTTAATCACGAGGAGTGGCCGATCTCATGAAATGTTGGCCGAAATTCTGAAATGCGTTTTCGATTCGGAAGGATTACTTAGGTGGGGCTGTAATATTGATCATCATGAAGCAAAATCCTATAGTATTTCAGAATTGCCAGGATGTCGGCTTTTGATTGAGGTTCTTTTCGCTCCTCCTGCAGAAAACACACTCGATACACACTGACTACTTTAGTAGCATGCATTTTTCCTATTGATTTTCGATGGTCTTGTAAATTCAAATATATTTCATAGAAAACATCCATAAAAATATGCTTTCTTCTACCCCTTTGGTAGACAATCACATTGTCTTGATATTTTATACCCGAAGAAAGTGTATATTTAGGTTTTAAAAAGTTTTCCTATTCAAGGATAATTTTGAACCTGACCAGCCATTAGCGTTTGACGATTTTAGTCTATAAAGTGCACGCTTCCCGCGTAAGGAAAATCATACATTTCTCTATGTCTTTAAGAAGGTACCACATACAGTTCCTAAAATTTCGCAATGGATCCGGACTGTGTTGTGCATTTCATAAGGATCATTGGTAAACGGCAATGTGCGGTCCTGTACGCATGGACATCGCACGGTCTTAAAAATCTCATAATTAAAAACTTTTTTAAAATCCAAATATACACTTTTTCGGGCATAAAATATCGATACAATGTGATTTTATACCAAAGGGGTAAAAGAAGGCATATTTTGTGCATGTTTTCCATAAAATATATTTGAATTTACAAGACCGTCGATAATCAATAGGAAAAGTGCACGCTACTTAGGTCGTCACTTTTTCAAAGTGCGGTTTCTGCAGGAGGTCAAACAGGGCTGTATCCAAAAGCCGACATCCTAGTGAGTATGAAATGCCATAGGCTTATGCTGCATACTTATGATTATTACAACCCCGCCTAAGTAATCCTTCCTAATCGAAAACGCATTTCAGAATTTCGGCCAACATTTCTTGAGATCGATCACGCACTGCATGTCTCGGTGAGACTGTATGCCAACTTTGCTATTAAATTTATTTCGTTTTATGCAAGATGTCAGTTTGAGGCTCGAAAGAGCACCGTCATAGGTCAACAAAAGTGTTGATTTCAACGGCCATACCGCGTAAGATATTTGGCCACTTCCGGGTGTGGGCTTTTAATAGATCACCCTACAAAATTGGTAAGTAGATTATGCAGGTTTTGCGCACTTATAAGTTAAAAGATTCTAGAAAGGTCAGCTTTAAAGGCCAACATTGCCTCTATCATTTGCAAAAGTGTGGCCTGGCTGGTCTTCCGCAACTGGTGACAAAAAAATTCAGGGAAGTTTGAGATGAAAAAAATCACTTTCACGGATGTTTTGGCAGCTTTTTGAATAATTCATATTGACCCAACGGTGAAAAACTCGGCGCCTCGGTGTAATTCGAACCCAGGCAGTAAGGGGAAGGCTTTAGTACAGCCAAAGCATTTTGCTTTGGTGCCCTGAAAAAGAGTCTGTCATTTTTCACACAACTTTAATTAACAGTCAGACTAAAGTCGCTACCTTTTGTCTCATTTGTTCCTTCACAGTTGTTCCTTTTACAGGCAACGTGATAAATGCACTGGACAAAGACGGGGGCTAGAACGGTGTATGGGGGGGGGGGGGACTTTATGGGGGCTGCGCACCCATAATAAATGCCAACATTGGGGGGTTTTGTGACACGTCTAGGTGCAGGCCAACGTGGTGCTAGTTGGGACCCGAGGTGTCGCCGGCTTCTTTCTTGTCGTGCAAAATCCTGGTCAGTGCCCGTTCGTTACCTGGAGGTGTGATGGTACGCCTAGGTGCAGATTTTCACCGTGCCAATCACCTTCGCCCTCTCCCGCCTCTAGCCTTTTTGACTCTGTCATGACGCCGAGTCAAGCTGGGGAAGGAGGTGGGGGTGAAGTAGGTGCTGCGCACGTCCACGAATTTGCGCGCAAGTCACCGTCCACATGTCCACTCTGCTGTGGTGCACTCGACGGACGTTGTCGGAAACGACGGTTGACCTGTCGAGTCAAAGCATATTAGCCACTGAAGGGCGATGCAAGTGTGGGGTCAGGTTAAGAATCCGTTAATCTCGGTGCATCCTATGTAACGTTCAAATTCCCTCGGACTCCAATGGCCTAGCGCCAATCAAAAGGGAACGCAACTCACAACTGACTGTACTTTGTCGACCCGAGCCAACGGATGGCAAGCCTACTGTTCAACCAGTCAAACAGCCTTTTGACGGCCGATCTTAGAACTAGATTCTCGTATCTCAAGCTATAGCAGCATACTGATTGTGGGAGATTTACGGTAGCCTTACCTGACGGGGAGTTCACCAAGGAGAAATCAGGGTGCAAATATGCCCTCCCCTAGCCAGTGCACTTGTAAAGTCTCTCTTAACCTTGGGACACACACCTACAGTAAGCTTGGGGGTTTCCTGTGGCTTTTTGCTTCTGCAAGAAAAAGATTAAGTCTTACTTCGCCAGGCCGAGCGCCCGTAGCCGTCAAACGAATGAATAGTAGGAGCGCAATACAGTAAAATGTGGAACACAGGCTTATCGAATAGGATACGGAATCTGGCAATAATGCGAATCATTTAACCAATCATAGCAAAATCGCCAAGGTCGAAAAGGGCTGACTCAAAAGGTGGAAGTTTCGTGTCAACTACTCAGCCGGTCTGCGGAACGTCAGTCCAGACAGTTGGTGCGCGTGATTCCGGGGGTTCAATAGGACGCTTGCTACCGCCGCGATAGCCTGCGAACAAAATCAAAAGTTGCAGTTATCCGTTCCGTAATCTTTCGTTTTATAGGTCTCCACATTCCGCTCCTAACCACTTGAAGTAAGTTGCCTTAGGCAGGCGACCAACAGTTTTTTTTCATAAAGGTGGCCTTTTTTGCCAAATGGGACAGTCTACTGTCAGTTATAAAGAAATTGTTTTCGCTCGAACTCTATGTCCACTCCTGGCGATTTTGACTATTTTTTGACTGGCCTTTTTCAACAAATCGCTAAGCATATCTGTGTGGTCCAAAACTTTGTACAAAAACAGCTAGTCACCTCGGGCTACACTCAAAAAGAAGTACTTACGAATATGCATTTTGCCCATTCGAACAGTCAAGATAATTTGCTGGCTTGAGAGATTATCATTCAGGGAACTTGAACAAACCCTTTCAGCAACTTCTTTGCCACAGTAACACAAGTATGGACGAGTGAGTATCGTAAGGAATTTAGTTTATAAATTTGAAATTAACTGATGAGAGTTTTGGGAAACGGGTGAACTCTGCCCACCTTCTGTCTAAAATTAACATACAGTCCCTTGAAATAGCGAAACTCCACTGCAGGTTCAATAAAAGAGAAAGTTTTCTACACTCGAAGTCTCAAAAAGTACTAAAACGTATATATATCTTACTTTAGATATGTGACATTTTGGAAATCGCGCCCACCTGAGAATGCATAAGAGAACATAAGCTGGGAAACTAAGTTAATCAAAAGGGTCTGCAGAAGCAAGTAGGCTGCGAAAACTACACTTAAATCTACGGTAATTTGACGGCGGTAGCAGTGGAAAGAGGAGACGTTTTCCCCTTTTCATCTGCCAACCGGTTTCTCGCGTTGTACCTTTTTTCTGGGACATGCAGCGCCGTAACCATTTTTCGAGAGGAAACGTTATAAAACCACATGTGTGAAAACTGTCAAATCGTAGCCTAGGGTAGGGAGAACGCAGATTTAACAGGCGAATGGAATGCAGCGCCGGAGGATGACCGGTGGTGAGGCACTGGTGGACTTCGGGTCAATGAAGGACTAATGACCAATTTGCCAGACGCCATCCATGAACCACGTGTGTCGCTTACGAACGCATATGTGTGTTTCTAGTTCCAAATGGTGATCATCGTTATGTCTGAGTGAATGAAGGCAGAATAAGCCCAAAACAGTACTGTAACAATCTTCCCGCACTCTCTGTCGTTTCTCTCATTTGTAAGATAGAAAAATCTGAGGGGAAACGACAAAATCTGGATGGTAGATTGATATAGTACTGTTTCGGGCTCATTTCTGCATTCGTTCAGTCAATCATAACCCTGACCAACAGCTGAGACCAGAAACACAAAAATGCCCACAGACACACCTGATGCAGTTGGTCCACCACTGGGGTCTACCAGATGGGTCATAATCACTTCACCAAGCCGAAGTTCATCAGTGTCTCGCCACCTGTCATTCTCTGTGGCTGCAGATCGGGTACTTATTCACTCAGGAATGAGCACATACCGATCCATTGGCTTCCAGAAGTAAACAAGCTTCGTATGCATGATAGGGATCACAATCAGGCGACCACCTACAAGACCCAAGTCGGCCAAGCTCTGATTAACTTCGGTTGGATGAAGTGCTTATGGCCCATCTAGCAGATCCCCAGCGGTAGACCAGCTGCGCCAGGTGTGTGAGCGCATGTTGGTGTTTCTGATCCCAGCTGGTGGTCAAGGTTATGATTGGCTGAATAAAGGCAAGCAAGTCATAAATAGAGCTGTATCAATCTACTCCCAGACTCTGTCGTCTCCCGTCTGCTATCACAGCTTGACCGGCTTCGGTCTGGTAGGTGGTTGCGTGTTCGTGACTCCTATCACCCATACGAAGCTTGTTTGCTTCGGAAGGCCAATGGATCGGTGTAAGCCCATTCCCGAGTAAATATATATATTTACTATTGACCCAACTGTGAAAAACTCGGCGCCTCGGTGGGATTCGAACCCACGCAGTAAGGGGAAGGCTATAGCGCAGCCAACGCTCTAACCACCTGAGCTACGAGGCCCCGCCGATCAATATGAATTATTCCAAATCTGCCAAAATATCAATGAAATGTATACATATATATGGCAGAAGATAAAAACATACTTGCACGCATATGAAACTATGAAACATATATGCGAGTTCCGCAAAAACGATCGGCGGGCGTTCCTGTACAAATGCATATTTCCGATTGCGACCGACAGAACAACGAGAATGTGTCTCAGTGGTTAGAGGCGCTGGACTTCTAACTAACAGGTTGCGGGATCGAGCCCCAGGCGTCCCACACTTCGGTGTTGGGTATGACTGGTTGACGACGGCTAATAAGCCAAAAGTGGCCATTCCAGTCTATCTTGTCTTCGTCGAAAATGCTATTCTGCCCATATCCTGCGCCTCTGTGCGGCTGCTGGTTTGGCTCGAGAGGGAGGGCCATAAGGTACAACGGGACGAGTGAGTTCCGTAACACGATCGGTGAGCGCCCCTCTACCAATGTATACATTTATATATAATAATAGAGGGCTCTCACCGATCACGTTACGGGCCGCACTTGTCCCGTCGCGCCCGCAGCCTCACAGCGGGACGAGTGTGTCCGTTAGAGCGATCGGTGAGCGTCCATCTACCACTGTGTATGTCTGATCGCAGCTGACAGGACAAGGAGCCCATGGCGTTGGACTTCTATCCCTGTCATCACTCCTCCTTGAGTATTATAGCTTGACCGACTTCGATCTGATAGTAGATTGCCCGTTCGTAATCTCTTCCGGCTTGTTTACATCGAGAATCCAATAGATAGGTGAGAAGTGTTTTTTTTATTTAACTTATATTTGTTAAGCAACGAAGACATTTTGGAGAGGTATCCTTTAGCTTCTCAAAAACTTGAGCATACAGCTCGCGGCCTTGAGATGCGATACTGAGAGGGAATCCTTTGGTGGCCCATATATTAAACATGAGACGGAATAAAAGAAATCTGAAAGTTATTCGCAACTTGTTCACAATCTTGTTGTTGTCAATGGGGAATATAGACAAATCTATTGGTAGTGGGCACGCTCACCGATCGTATAACGCAACTCACTCGTCCCGTGTTGTGCCTTGGGGCTCTTTCTCTCTCGAGCCCAGCCAGCAACCGCATAGCGGTACGTAATACAGGCAGAATAACGTTACCGACAAAGACAAGGGAGACTGGAATTGCCCTTTCTGACTTATTAGCCGTCGTCAGCCAGTTATACTCGACCCCATAGTGTGGAACACCTGGGGCCCGATCCCGTCCCGTCGGCTTCGATCGGGAATATACATTGGTAGAGAGGGCGCTCACTGACCATGTTACGGAACTCACTCGTCCCGCATTGTGCCTTGGGGCCCTCTCGCGATCCCAATCAGCAGCCGCATAGCAGCACGTAATATAGGCAGAATCTATTTATCATTATATTCACATAAAAGTGCTAATAGGGCTTAAAATAGAACTCCACTCTCGAGACGCCCGACAGACTCCTCACGGCCTAATCTAAATAAGGGTCCTTGCGTGTATGAGCAGAGCAAGAAACACCCTGAGCTCGAAGTTCAGTGAAACAGACTGTCACAAAATCGACCAATCAGAAGTGCAGGTAATTTAGAGAGAAACCAGCTGGTGATTTCTCAGGAGATAGTTGCGGAAAAGAGGGTGGGCTACTTGTTGACTTATACGGAGAAGTGACAAAATGGGTTCTCTAAAAGAACCCCAAGACAATACTACATCGGAAAAGCAAACTAACTGGTATTGACGAAGTAATTTCCTTCAAAAACACCATTTCCGCCTTTTGTGGGCGAATGCGTGCAGTTCCAGTGATCTTGTCTATTCGCAATAGCATATAGTTGACCTTTGCCGAGAGATCAAACAATCTGGACTCTATCAACAAGAGATCTCTCTATCTTAATGTCCAATTTTTGAGAAAATTGTAAAGAGGTAAGATACTATTTCGTAGCCGCACCTGTTTGGCGTTAGGCGTTGGGGGTTAGGCCTAGGCGTTAGAATTAGGGGGTTTGGGGCGTTAGTGTTAAACCCCCCTATTACCATTTGTCCCGTATGACACGCGGCTGGGGCTTGTCTACGGCTGCGAAATACGATCAGGCCTGTAAACATCTTTTAAAAACACCCAAAACTGCCAGCTCTACGTCCGGCACCGTCGACTGTTGGCGCATTTCTCTACATTCAATCCTGCCTCTGGGTTCCAAAAGGGCTCCTTGCCACAATTTGTTTCTCAAATAGCCGGCTTAACTACATCCCTCCCCTCCCACGTCCTTCCACCTCATGCCTCATAACCTTCCTGTTAGATTCTTATGCGATTATTGATTGATTTACCACATTTCCGGCAGGCGCCTTGACTCAGACGTCTGGAGTCTCGGGTCACCAGTAGCTCCCTCAGGGTTCCCCGTATGCTTTTAGGGAAGTGCGCGCCAGTTTCGCTGTCGGGGTTTTCATTTACTTAAGAAATTAATATGTGGACTTGGAGGTTGTTAGAATTCGCCCACTAAAAGGGGCCACGCGGTAACACGCGTTGGATTTACACAGAGGCTGGGTCGGAAGCCGGCCAGCTTTATTGGGTAAGATGTGGATATGTGACCCCACTTGATGAGCACAATATTCTTAGGTTTGGGGTTAGGGGTTATGTTAAGGGGTTAGGGTTAGAGATTGAAGCAACTATTTCTCAACCACTCAAAGTACAACCGCGCATCCCCAATAGCTCTTCATTTGCATACAATTACAGTAAGTGGACTAAATCATTAAATGTCAGCCTAAATTTCGAAATGCGTTCCCTTGTCAAAGAGATTAATTAAGTAGGAATGTGAGACTGCTCATCATGCAGCATAATTCCATAATAATCTAGTTACCTTAGGGTGTAGGTTTTCGAATGAACTTCTTTCCGACTGCATGTAAGAATTATACATTGCAAAAAATGACTATTTAAATAGCATACAAGTTTCCCGTTAATTTCGATGCCCTTAAAAAGTCAATTATATTTCATGGAAAATGTGCATAGAAATATTCGTTCATTTGTTCATTCGGTAGAAAATGGCGTCTTTTTCCAATTTTTTACTCAAAGAAAGGGTATAATTCGGTTTTAAAAAGTTTCTAATTGTGAGATTTTTTAATACCGTGAAATGAACCTTCATAAAACGTCATGCCTCTGCATTTACTAATGTGGCTTTAAATGTTAACAGTTTGGCTCAAATTCACTGCTACATTTTATGAAACCCACACAGTCTTCTCTGAATACCGTAGAGATCATTATAGAATTATGCTGAATGATGTTTAGTTTTACAACCCTTTGTAAATAATCTTTTCGAAATGAGAACGCATTTCGAAATTTCGGCTGACATTTCATGAGTTAGCCCACCTACTGTACTTGACCTCGTCGCCTGTGCGATCCCCGACCCCACCTGTAAAAACACCTATTACCACCGGTCCCGTATTACAGATGGTTGGGATTTGTTTACTTCAGTTATGGACTACATGACCACATCTGACCCTTTATTGGGAATGCGCATTCAAAAAAGGTCTCAACATTCGGGGTGTGGTGGCCGGCCATTGTTCAGTCTCATGCCACGTGAAGTGGGATCTGTGCTGCCTGATCAAGCGTTTGTTGTAGGTCAGGGTGTGTGGTGGTACGCCTAGGTGCGGGGTTTCGCCGCGCCGGCCACCTGCGGCCTCTCCTGCTTCCGGTCATCCTGACTCTGTTTTGGATGCACCGGATGCAGGTGGGTTAGGACGACAGAATGCGCTGGATGTTGCGTAAGCAGGTCATTGTCCTTGTTATCGCCCTGCTGTGGAACACGTGGTGGACATCGTCGACCACGAACGTCAAACTGTGACGGTTGTTCGGAAAGTACTGGTCGATATTTTGACTGACTTCTTTAAGAATTGCTATTTTCGCAGTTTTTTATAGATGCTTTTGCATGCTTGATAACTGATGCGTATTCTTTGAGAATTCTTCTACAATTGCTTTCAGAGCACAGTTTTGGAGCGTAAAAACTCTTAATGACGAATATAAAGAAGAGGAACTGCGTTTACTTTTAGTATCAAAGTTCAAGCTCGGTCATAATCCTTCCCAAACAACCGTTAATATCAACTGCGCATGGAGAGAAGGGTCTACAAGTTATCAGACTGTATGTAGGTTGTTCCAGAAATTCCGCAGTGGCAATGAGAAGAAGGACGGTCATGCACTCTTGAAAATGAACTTTTGATGCTCTTAAGGAAAACCCTCGAAGCGAAGCACAAGAGACTGTAATGACTATTTCTGGTTTCATCTGACTCACTTCAGAAAACATCAAAGGTCCCCCGACGGCATTCGAATCCACAACATCAAAGTCTTGCGCACAGGCAACGCTCAGCCACCTTTTCGTGTTCACTGGAAGCCTTATTTTTATTCACAAGTAAACTAAGTTGCCTCCCTCCACCTAACCTACGGAAACATATAGGATCCGTCAATTCTGCTTTAATTTTCCGTCTACAAGGGCCCTCTGTCGGAGTTTTCTTGTTTGACTACATAACTGCTCATTTGGTGTTGCATTCTTACAATCTCCGATGATGGCCTCCTGTATGAGACCGAAACTTCAGACTACTGCATGTACTGTCTCCGTGATTGCGAGTTCATCGACTTTGCAAACACCAAACTGCTCAGTTTCTGTCATGTACTTATGTCTGACTTAATATTTCCGTTCACAACTGACAAAATGGTGAGCACATGACTTCAGGGTGGGGCGTGTTACTCAGGCGCAAAGTGTGATTGGAGCGCGGCGAAAAAATTGGCTGGCAAAGGCTCACTTGCATTTTCGGCAAGGTTCTCGGGGAGGAAGTATTTTGACACATTTTGGGGTAACATGACGATCTTAGCGTAACGAACTAAGATGGCCACTGGGGGTGGGCACAGGGACGGTGACTTCTGTGTGATTTGGTCTATAGTGAATGTAGACTTGCACAGCATCTACCGCACTCTCTCCTCCCCCCACCTGGATCCGGTGTCAAGACAGCTTTTGAGCAGTTTCTCATCCCTCATCCACTTGGGCCCAGTGGCCAGAGAGAGAGAAAGTCAGAACGACCGAGTGGCGGGCTCTGTAGTTACAGACCGTCCTGACGCGCTACCTGAGGTGACATAAGAGCCCTATTTCGAGTGAAAAGAATGGATAGAGTTCTAGATGAATGGAGAGTGCATCCTGAAGTCATACAAGAAAAGGTTCTTCTTTGGAATATTTGAACTCTAGCTGAGAAGTCTGCTGAACGCCCTGCAACGCACGCTCCGCCGCAACTGTTGTTTGTGCGCCGCTATTCCATTGTACAAATAAGGTACAGTAGAACTGTGGCACCAACATGAGAGCTTCAGTGTTTAAATAAAATAACGGCCGAAGTAGAATAACCCTCATTAACTGCAATGCAACGCAATCGGATCTAAGGGCATTTAATGACAGGGCATTTAATGGGGGCGTAATGCGTTCAGAAAGGACAGAGTGGTGTGTTATGTCATGTCCTTGCCGTGACGCTTTGCTAGTAACCAGTTCTGCAACTCTCCGTGATCAAATCCCCAAATGAGGACTCAGCAGGATGGGTGGGGGAACAAGAAGTCTATTGCAGAGTCCTCATGACAAAAACTTAGCGAGAAAAGGTACGTACGCAAATGTCTAAGGCCGGTTTGGAATTGAGCCAGTTAGATCATACCCTGGAGCTGTTGGCATGACGACTGGACTTCTGACTCATCTGAGTGGCCGGGCACCCCTCCAATCCTGAACGACCTCAGCACGCTCACGCCGTGTAGGTTGATCGATAAGACGGCGTGTGTGTGTGCGCGTTGTTAGGGCGGGGGGCGTGCGAACGAGTCGGTCAGGAAAGATCCTCTCCTAACATGTTAAACATCAGACCAGGACTTAACGCGTTCTCCTTATATCTCGAAATCCGATTAATGGGCTCTCGCCCACGTACCTGATCCTTCTTTTTCAACTGTCTGCCATAGCCTACATGAGGATGAGGAGGAGACTATTGGAAAGATGTCACGTTGTTTCTCATCTACAGACTGCTCTCTTTTGTACCTCCTCTCGAACGACTAGATGAGTGCGAGTCTGGTGCAGAACACAGCCACAAGCCCGAATCAATATCCAACGGCCGCCCAGAAGAAGACCTACGCTGTGGCTCTCTTCGACCTTCAGACCTACGACCCCAATGACCTTCAGTTTAAGGAGGGCGACCTGCTAGTCGTCTACGACACCACCGGCGACTGGTGGAAGGGTTTCAATCCCAGAACAGGCAAAAAGGGCTTCATTCCCTTCAACTACGTAAATGACAGGAAGGGTACCTCTCACATCCTTGATGCTATTCATGAAATCGACAGGGAGCAGGCCATCAAAAAGCTTCTTGCAACTGCGGCTAACTGGGATGAAAATTTTATCCTCAGGCCTAGAGCTGGTGAGTAGTTTTGCAGCAATATTAATGTCCTCGGTACTGTCAGAGCTTTAGGCTGCGCAGCAGCATCCATGAAGCCCTGGCGAGGTATGCACAAAGCTGCGTCCTTATGAAAATTTCTAGTGAGGGTGCAGGTGTCTCAATGGGGAATGCCGCTGTCATTCAGGCCCGAAAACCCATTGGCTGACAACTCGTCCAGTGACAGGTGGCATACTGTTGTGTTGAATTCGAGTACGCGTTTGACGTTTCAGCCGTCGGTTTCAACGATGTCCACCGTATACCCAACAGCCGGGCGGACGCTGGAACGGTGACTTGCGTTTGAATTGGTTTATACTGCTAGCCGACTTGCACTGTATCTACCGCACAGGCTCTCTTTTCCTCCCACTACTGTCCCGATTCATGACAGAGTCAGAAAAACTGGATGGGGGGGAGGACGCGGGTGGACGGTGCGGCGTGAACTTGCACCTTGGAGTGCCGCCACACCCCCGGTCTGCATACGAACGACTAGGATTTTTCACAAAAGGAAGGTAGAGCGGCTCGGATCCTAACTAACAGAGAGTGTCACATTAGGGTGGAGCCGTTGCTGTCTGACTCTCAGTCTACCAGCCGGCGGCTCCACGCAAACACACATATTGGGCTGAATGTGAGGTCTGGCAACCTTTCAGGCCACACCCTTTACCGCACTGTGATAGGCTCAAACGCGTGCACTTCTTTAGGGTGAGAAAACTGCGCTGAGAGTCGACCTCGATCGCTCTTCCCTTGCTCGTGAACCAGTCGATTGTTCCAGCCGGACAGCCAACTGATATTAGGATTGGGAGATGTGAGTGACAGAGCTAGGAACAGCCCGTCTTCACGCACCACACACGCGACCAGCCTCTACTCGACTTTCACACAAGGAAGTGGGCGACTGAGATTTCATGCATGTCAAAGTGTCATAGAAGCCCCATTAAGGAGGAACCATCGCAGACTGCTCTCAGTCCACCAACTGGCTGCCCAACTCAAACACACATTGGGCTGACTGTGAGGTCCGAGTTATCTCCAAGCAAGCACTCCAAGTCACCGCATCTAGCGCACCCTCTATAGGCTCAAGGACGTCGGATTGTTTGTAGTGCGAAAAGTGCGCCGATGGTCGGCCTTATTTTCTAGTACTCTCCTCGCAATCCTGTAAATGGCGTCCACAGGCAAAGTGAACATGTATCAGATTGAACGGTAAACACATAGCGGCATGCATGATGAAAAGACCTATTTCCAGCCATTTCAACAACGGAAACTTTCAATAGAATTCAATGTTAAAAAGACACAGTTCTAGCATTGAAAGAAAACGCCTGTTTCGTCAACAGAAAGTGGTCATTCCTCTACGTCTTCTTCTGGATCTTTGAGTGAGATTTTTTCATACGATGAAGGAAAACTTGATCAAAAGACATTTAGGTGGGATATGACTTGCAGACCCATGAGCTAAACTGGGTACTAGGATTAAAAATCCTTTGTAGGCTCTGACTCACTTGAGGTTTAGATCAATAATACAGGGGAAACCAAGTGCAAGAGTGCCTCTTGATAGGCTCAAAGCGCTTGCATTTCAAAATTAGAAAACACTTCTGTTTTGAAGAATATCACTCAGATTTAGATACAGCAGACTGTAAAGAATGTCTCTTAAACACACGTCTTATTTACATCAAGACAGAGTCAGGCTTTCGTGGTAGAAACGTCGACAGGAGTATACATGGCAGAGTCAGGAATAACAACGGTAGCAGGAATGGTTATAACAACGAAAACTAGCAATCCCATAGTGGTACTTCCATCAGAGTTTTATAATTCAATCGACCTTAGCATGAAAATCTCTCAACCGAACCAATGAAAACAAAGACAAGACTTTAACAATGAGTTTAACTATATTTGAGTGAAGTTACTCGTCCAATCTCCTGCAAGGTATGGAAATACTCCTATTCTGGTCGGTCACTTGACTATCCAAGCATAATTTCCTGAAAAATCAATAAAAATGCATTAGGCGGCACTCTGACTCATTAATGGTGTTTTTAGCGGACTTGACTAATTCATGAGACTCTGCTGGATTCAAGACCGATTGCAGTTATAGTAGGTTGTGAAAAAGTCAAGACCTTCGAGCAGGACCTCGTGCCCAAGTTGGTTAGGACCGTGGATTCAAATCCTCCCTTGACTGCCGAGTTTTTCACAATTCAGTCAAAAACATTTTTCAAATCTGCCAAGGAACACCGATTAATTAAGTGGACCTGGTAGTCATCCAGTGCACTCTAAATTAATTTTTAAGCAAATCCTACTTCGACAGTCAGCCTGTTGTACCATATTTGGTGAATTCCATACGTTGTAGTAGGCTGGGCGAGTGACTTGACCCAAATTTGTTTTAATTCACGACTCCAAGCGGGGTTTCCGTAGCTCAGGAGGTGAGAGCGTTGGCTGTACTCAGGTCTTGCCCTTGAGTTCGAATCCCACCGAGGCCGAGGAGATTTCATAATCGCCTCTAATGAGTCCTTTGTGTCAAAAGTAATCATATTAGTAGTGATAGTAGTAGTAGTAGTAGTAGTAGTAGTAGTAGTAGTAGTTCTGGCAGTAGCGGTAGTGGTACTAGAAAAATCCAATATAGTAAGAGGTCCCAGTGATTAGTAGGTTTACGGAACATGGCAGCAATAATAGTAGTAATGAATGGGATGGGGAAAAAATAACACTGTTAAAAGGCATCCAATCTGCAAATTGCCCTTCATACCCTTTCTTTTTTCAAGACTTTCATCTGTTTGCGTCTTGTCAGGTGACGAAACCTTCGCCCTCTCCGTTCGTCTCTACTCCCAGGAAGGCGTCAAAGTGAAGCACTACAAACTGTCCTTCGACACAAGCATGGGCCAGTGCTACCTGCGAGACGATAGTCGTTTCCTCACAGTCCAAGAACTCATCACCTACTATCAACGTTAGTTTTCAATCCGTGGGCGAGAAAGCACACTTTTTTCTACACCCTCATGCAATGCCTACAACATTGGTCCTCTCATGGTAGACCAGTTATTTACAAAAATTATTTTGACTCAGCGTGGATTAGTTACCTAGGATTTGGATTAAACAGTCGGAGTTGGTGTGGTTATCATTTAAACGGGTCAGACTCATTGCAGAAAACTGAAGGAAAGAGCACGTGAGGCCCGTTATCTCCGCGACCTGTTTAACAGCATGGATATCCGAAGGTATTTATAAGTCGCTGCCAGAGGAGCTTACATCAACATAATCAAGGATATGGTATTCCATGCCATATAGTAAGGACATTTCATAAGCGACTGAGCGTAATGCTGAGGAACTAGGCTTTGGAACTGCACACAACCCAAAGCCACCAAGACCGGTCAAAGTCCCAGCAGCAATGTGAGGAAGTGTGTCGCCTCCTGTGCCAAAACTGTCCTTGAAACTGCGCAGGCTAAACTATACGCATGCTCAGATCGCGCATGAACGAACATAAGCTGACTGTGCAACGAGTCAACGAATCATCACAAGTGGCTGCCCACACCTACCAAAAGGGGTCATAAGTTTAACTTCGCAGCCACAAAGGTAATTGCCAACGCCGAAAATGAGACTAGCTGAGATTTGATTGAACCTGGGCTTCGGACGAAAACTCAATCAATCGATTTTTCGGTCTGGAGCCGGCGTACAGAGCTCTGCGCAACCATCCCCGTCGTGCACACCGGTCGACGAGTGGCTAAAGCCCTACAGTCGTCGCTTGCTCCGTGGTTGCTACTATCTATGACTCTGGACTTCTGCACGAGCCCGAATGCTCAAACTATACACAAATAGTTCCGGTGCTCGACCAGCCTTCTGCTTCACTTAAATTATTTTCTGTTGTCAGAGCTCAAATTGAGGGCTATCAACCCTCTTTGAGCAGATGGCAGAAATAATCTCGGCAACCTAAGACAAAAACAGTCAGTCCGTAATCAAGCACGCATAAATTCAAGCAGCATGGTTTCTCGCATATGGTTGGTCACCGACGGAAGTTTGGTTAATCCACTGTAATTTCCTGGGAGACGTGTTCAACTGGACTTCATGGTGGGCCTACATCGGCTGTTCACCAACTCTTTGCATTGCTCAACAATAGCGGTCTGACCAGTTACTCCTCCCATCACTACTTTTATTCAAATATCTCAGACTTTCTCTTTTGGCATGATAAAATAGCGCACATTCTCGCAACGCCGCATAGACAGGCGAGAGACTTATTTTCGGTCACCATCAGCCTCACTACAGACGGAGAAGATCTGTGGACTGGTTCCAGCTGGTGGCTAAGGCAGACGCTCGACCACTACAGTTAATGGTTCACAGTCCGTTGGTCGCAATGAGAAGCACGCAGTCACATGTGTGTATGTTCACCAATCCGGCTTGACTAATAAACGGAGTTCAAACGTGAAGTTTTGCTCCGGGGCACCGATCCAAAGGCCTCACAGACGACGGCATAGTATAAGGACGAAAGCCGACAGTCGCAAACGACAGCCTCATCTGTGTGCCCCATCAAATGGGTGCGGTGCTGGTGAGGCGCGCACGTGGGGTGGACTTGCACTGCATCCGCCGCACTCTCTCCTCCTTAGCCCATTTTGCAGGTATGGCAAGAGGGTCTTTGGTGGGCGCAGGCTCAGTGGATGGCCGAGCTAAACGGTCTCTCTACGCGTACCGCACACGAGCTCTTCGCCGTGGGAATGGACTGCCAATGCCGACCTCTCTCTCTCACACACCAGTCGTCTCCCCGGGTTTGTCAGCCAGGTAGTGGTGGGGTTGGGCCCAGTGGCTGACGGAACATGGTGATTTACGTCCAGGGCGTTCACGCAATTTGACAAACGCGTATCGTGAACCAGTCTGACCCCCATTTCGTTCGACGCGTCTGCAGCGAAGCCCGTTGCGGCGCCAAGAATAGCATTGATGGCGTAAACTAGGACAACTAGAATGCGAAATTTAGGTTTTATTGGTTGTCCATCATAATGCTACCGACGGGGAATGTTCAAGGCTGGGAAGCCAAGGCATAACATAGTCCCTTTGCATGCCTTTCTACAATCAATACATATTGGCGAACTCCGCGCATGTGCCTTTAGTGAAGTTACTCAGTGAGAATCCTAGACCAAGACAAAGTGAAGAATTTTATGGAGGGGAGAAAATTGTAGCATGATATAAGTGTACATAAGGGTATATTTTAGCGGAACGGGCTTTCATGCACCCTTCAAATGATCTAAAGAAGGTCAAAGAACAAGCGTAATTTGCAACACCTTTCGGACAGCCTAATTGTATGCGCCCTGCATATAACGGCAGCCATGCCTCAACTAAGACTGAAGAAATTTTAATTTGACCCTCTCCCTCTCCTCCTCCTTCCGTTTCAGAACATGAAATTGAGGACAACTGTCATCTGCGCAAGCCCGTTCGTTGAGATTGTCTCAATGTTTTATTCCTGCCCGGCTGTTGAAGGACAGCTCGTGATGGTTGCCGCTGGGTGACCCACTTGTATCCAAATACCCATGTTGGCTCGAACTTCCTTCTTCTGATCATGTTTCTTAATAACTCGGATCAAATAACGCCATGTTTTTTTATAGTATGAAATCACTCCTGCGTGATTTACTCCTTCCCCATCGTGGCAAATGTGCCTCTACGCAGTGTAGAGTAAGCACAGCGTAGAAAGAAACTCAGGATTTATGTGGCTTGTGAAAACATTTGTTTTGCTGCTCACCTTACGGTCGAGGTTCGATAAAAATTGTTAATCGCAATATTATCACTGCAAAGGGGTGCGGTTGCAGCGTCGAGGGAAATTTCTCCCTGTGAATCCCGACTCGCACATTTAAAGGGTGTGGGACTACTGTTCTGCGAAATCATACCGCTCCAACTGGAAGGGCGGCGTATTAGTAGTGTTTCAATTCACCTCAGAATGACAGTTTAGGTGTCGTGACCGAGGATTTTCACCGGTGAGGGCGGGCACGGTAACTTGTGCGTGCTTTTTTTTCACGGCGAGCGTAGACTTGCACAACATTTACCGCACTACCTCCTCTTCGCCCACCTAGTCCCGATGTCAATAAATAGTCAGGAAGACCGGAGGTGGAAGAAGGTGCAGGTGGCTTGCGTGGCCGGAGCCGCCCCTAGGCGTGCCGCCACACCCGGCTCGAATGCCACTAAGTGAGAATGCCATAAAGATCACATAGCGTGGGAGCCGTAGCAGCCTGACTCTCAGACCACTATCCGGCCACTCCACTCAAACACACAACACTGGGCCGACTGCGAGGTCCAAGTTAGCCAGTCAGTTGACGACCTTCTAAGCCAAGGCTTTTAGTGCGCCGTGATAGCTTCAAGCGCGCCAGATTGTTTATAGTGAGGAGGAAAGTGCTCTGAGTTGTCAACCTCGCTCTCCCTTCCCGTGCTTCAGCCACTGTCCGAGCCGGCCGATTGTCTGGTGGGGGGAATGGGTGCACTTGCCGACCTATGTCGTGACCCCGTTTGCGCACACCGCATGTATCACCTGGTCTATCGAGCACAGACACCGGGATTTCACACAACAGGAGATGGGCTGCATGCCTCTCGCATGCGTGACAGTGTGAGGGTTAGGTTAAGAAGCAGCCGTTCTAGCTTGACTCTCAGCCCATCAGTCCGCCATTCCGACGACAGTTCGGCCTTCGTTTCCGACGATGCCCACAGTGTGCACAACAGCAAGGTGCAGCGGACACGGTGAATTGCGCGTAAACTGGTTTAAAGTGATAGTGCACTTACGCAGCATCTGTCGCACTCTCTCTTCCGTACTCCCAACTGGACCCGGTGGCAAGAATAACGGAGGCGCGGGAGGGCGCAGGTAGCTGGAGCGGCCGGACCCGCACCCAGGCGTGCCACTACATCCGGCTCCGATCCCACGGGGTGGGAGTGTCCTAGAGGCCACACTATGAAGGAACCATTGCAGCCTGACTCTTAGACCACCAGCCGGCCACTCCACGCAACACATAACACTGGCAGAATGGGATTACAGACAGAGACAAGAGAGACTGGAATGGCCATTTCTGGCTTATTAGCCGTCGTCAGCCAGCCATACCCAAGCCCGAAGTGTGAAACACCCGAGCCTCGAACTCACGACCTGTTGGTTTAGAAGTCCATGCCTCTATCCACCGGGCTCGAGGCTCGGATGTTCCACACTTCGGGCTTGGATATGGCTGGCTGACGACGACTAATAAGCCAGAAACGGCCATTCCAGTCTCCCTTGTCTTTGTCGGTAATGCCATTCTGCCTATGTATCATGCGCCGCTGTGCGGCTGCTGGTTGGGCTCGAGAGAGAGCCCGTAAGGCACAACGGAATGAGTGAGTTCCGTATGAACGATCGGTGAGCGCCCCCTACCATCGCATAACACTGGGTCGACTGCGAGATCCAAGTTATCCCGTCAGTTGGCAACCTTCCAAGCCAAGGCTTTAAGCTAGCCGTGATAACTTCAAGCGCGTCAGATTATTTATAGTGAGGAGAATGCGCTGAGTCGCCGACTTCACTCTGCCTTCGCATTCCCAGGCCCCAGACGCCTGTGCGAGCCGGTCAGTTGACTGATGCGGGGAATGGGCGCGGTGGTTTACAAAGTCCAGTGACCTTGTCTACGAACGCCGCATGCAGGAACTGGCCACCCAAACACAGGCACCAGGATAACACACAACACGGCGGTTGAGCGGCGTAAGCCTCACATGCGTGAGAGTGCCGTAGGCCGTGTTTATAGGGGTAGTTTCAGCCTGGCCTTCAGCGCACCAGTCCGCCACTCCACACAAGCATACACACACAACTGGACGGACTGCGTGGGCCGAGTTGAGGCGTCAGTCAGCAGCTTTTAAATTCGTGCACCTTGACACGACTAGATAGTCTCAGACTCGAGTCATGCATGCAGCAAAGGAGTCGCACAGACACCGAGTCAAGACGCACACTTCCCACAAGCTCGGGAGGGTGCAGTTGGGTGCTTGTGGTGGGTGATGTTGATGTGCGGCGAGGTGATGGTGTGGCGCAGCCAGCGGTTGTCTACCGTAGGTTTTCTTGGACGCGCATGTGGCCTAGTAGGCCCATGCGGTACATGGATTTGCGAGTGCAGTGTGGACAGTAGAGGAGGATGTGGCAAGTGTAGGTTGGTGCTCCAGGCACTGGTTCTCAGGTCTCTGTGCGATGAATTCGCAAGTGGCCGACCGGGTCGGTGCGTGAGGGGAATGTGCGATCGCAGTGAGGGCATGTATAGACCCGGTCATCAGCACTGGTGTTGACGGTGGCGGTGTTTATTTTTGTTGGAGTGCCAGGATTGTGTGTAATGTTGACGAGCATGGCAGACGCCAGAGCGACAAACGTTAAGAAGAAGAAGAAGAAGAAGAAGAAGGAGGAGGAGGAGGAGGAGGAGGAGGAGGAGGAGGAGAAGAATAGTAGTGGCGACCTACCCCATAAAATGCTAACTAAAATTCTGAAATGGGATTTCAACTAGAAAAGGATGACTTGGGGGCGGTTTTTATATTGGTCAGCATGCAGTATAGTACTAGGATATTTCGGTCATTCCAGGATGCGGCCTTTGAGTGTGCCGAAACTGCTTACGTTAAAAGATGACTTCTTAAGCAGTGTGCATCTTCCCAGTGGTTTTCGACGGCTCTAAAAATTCAAATATTTTGATAGAAAACACCAACAAGAATGGGCTTTCTATTACTCATCTGGCAGCAAATTACATTTTACTCAAATATAATAGTCGAAAAATTGTTTACTATATGCTAAAAAGTGCATTTTTTACCTCCAAATAATTTTGAATCCGAAACTACATTCTGTATTTCTGCTGTTCAAAAAAATCACCCACGTTTCAACGCTATTTATAAGACGTCATACAGATTGCTGGTTGTTAAAAAAAACCAACTTAATTAGTTCGTGCATGGAAAGAGCAGCGGCCAATGTAACGACTATCTGCAGACGATATGATGAAGTTTTGCTTTTTAATTTCTTAGAAATTAACTGCGAACTTAGAGTAGATCAGTATATTTAAGGTCTACAGACTCGGAACAAAATGGTATGTGTGAACAACGATTTCTTAATTGGAGTATCTACCAGAAAACAGACAGGAAAAGCTGTGGGACCCACTGACGAGCCGAGCTATGTCATACAGCAGCAGAATATCGGCAAAACACGCGTTTATGGGCTTTTAGCTGGTACTTCTGCTGTTAGTATGGTATCACCTTACCTCGACGTACACAACTAGCTGCCTGTCAGCAGTTAATGAATATTGCGCAGTTATCCGCTGTGGCTAATGGACTTCGGCCCAGATATTCATGCATCCATTTTCGTTCTGTGCCTATAGACCCTCGTATAGACTGATCTACTCCATGTTAGCAGTTTATTCATGTGGAAATTAAAAAGCAACTATTTCTAAAGTGGAGTATCTACCGGAAAGTACAGGGGGAGTGATATGGTGTCCACTGAAGAGCCGAAGCCCTAGCAGTTGTGCCATGAAGCGGCAGAATGTCGGCAAAATACGCGTGTCTGGGCTTTTTACTAGTATTCGTGCTCCCAGTATGGTATCTTCGGTAACAATCGGGAGATGGCACCCAAAAAAATCCGCTACCTAGAAATAATACTTTAACAGTAGACTCAAACGCCTTCAGGCTATATCAGCGGTTGCAGGCCTACTTTCACGCACTAATTGGACTTTCCGCGACGGCCTAACATGGGCTGGCTGAACGAACATCGCAGGAGGTTACATGGGCGATGGTCGCTGTTACCCAACCTTCCCCATCTTTACACGCGTACACCTGAATATACGGCATACATTCGCATTATGGCCGTTTATTACGAAACAAAATCACTTTTAAATAGGATACGTCTGCACAACATGGGACAGGAACAGTTCGCAGGCATCTGCCAAAGACATGGCATTGAGGCCAAACCAAAGACGATACTGTACTTCATCTATGTCAGCCCACACAGCTCGACCACATACAGGGCCTCTCTCGTGCTGTTTCCTTTTCAGTCTACTCCAGTATGCCTCAATGGCATTGGTGTGCCGTCCGATGGTAGGGTCCTTGAAATTCTTTGAGTGGTTAGCAGAGAAATGTAGATAACCTTCTGAAGGAAGACGATTATACACCTTCCAGTCGTCCGTTACCACTACACTGCCCTTGGCGACCCATTTTGTAATAACGTAACGGAGAGCGGGCCAACTTCGATCATTCACCTGTTCAAATAAGGCTTTCCGTCGGCTAGTATCGTACATCCCGAACAGCTACCATCCAGAAAACCCTTATTACTACCTGTCCCGTAAGACAGGCTGCTTTGGTTAGGCGGATTTTTTGGATGCCATCTCCCGATTGTTACCGTATCTTCTGATGCTAAACCATCATAGGGATATCATAAAAATCTACAGTGGGTGCATACAGTTTTGTAAACTTGATAAGCAACACTAATGTGCGTACAGATACGATGCTGTACAAAAGCGTACTTCAAGGTTATAAAAAATCTTTCTTCACGTACACAATTAAGGAGGATGTAGGTTATCACCAAAAGAATAATCCGTTTTTTACAAAATATATTTATGTACATTTATAAGGGTATAGAAAATAAAAGAGAAGAAAAAGCATGCTAATTAGGTTCTCAAATGTGGCTGGTTTTAGGCGGCCATGAAGAAGCCCATTCGAAAGTAAACGTTATGGCGAGGATGAGATAACTGGGGACTATGTTGACCTATAATCTATAGCACAACCCACCCAGGTAATCCTTTGTAAATGTAAACGCGTTTCAGAACATCCATGCTCAAGTCGAGCACATCCAGTCTCCTGCGCCGTGAGAGTACCTTCTAATTTAAACATGGAGTCAACTGTTGCTAGTTCTTGTCGTTTTTTTAATTTCCTCAGAAATTATCTACGCAGTTGGAGTAGATCAGTTTATTCAAGACCTACAGGTACAGACCGAGAAGTTGATACATGAAAATTTGGGCCAAAGTCCATCCGCCACAGCGGGTAACCGTGTAATATTCATTAACTGTCGACAGGCAGCTAGTAGTATGCTTGAGGGTAAGGTGATATCATACTAACAGCACATGTACTAGCCAAACGCCCACACACGCGTGTTTCGCCAGCTGCCAGGGGTTCGGCTCATCAGTATACTGCGAGCTGCCTGCCGGCAGTCAATGAATATTACACGGTTACCCGCTGTGGCTGATGCACTATGGCCCAAATATTCATGTATAAAATCCTCAGTCTGTGCCTATAGACCTTGAATAAACCGATCTACTCCAACTTCGTAGAGCATCTGCGAATGTCTCTGATGATGGGCTCGAGTGAGAACCCGAAACGTCAGGCCAATAAACTTCTTGTCCCAGTGATCGCATCTTCATCTTCTGAAATTAAAAAGCCATAATTCCTAAATTGCAGTATCTATCAGAAAACTCACGGGAATGCTGGGGGACTCGCTGATGAGCCGAAACCCTGGCAGCTGTGCCATGAAGCTGCAAAACATCGGCAAAACACGCACATATGGGCTTTTGGCTAGTACCTGTGCTGTTAGTATGGTACCACCTTACCCTAGAGTGTTGCTACTTCTGGAAATAGGTCCCTGCTGGCTGAATGTCAGCTGCATTTGAAACTAGATCATCCAAAATGCAACCCGTATGACATGCGAGGAGGCCAGAGCGCTAAGGGATGATCGTGGGTAGATGTGAGGCAACAGTTATCTACGACCGACAATTCCGCTTGCGAGGGTTGAAAGGCCACTCATGGACGGCCGGGTTGCGTGAACTTCGTCATAAAATCAGGACTAACCCGCAAATTCCACATTTAAGTGCTGGATATTCATCATTCGACAGACCAATCGTCTCATTCGGCGGTGTCCAGCGCGTGCCCACGATGGTAAGATACGCGTGAGATGCACACTTCATTGTCTGGTGACGCACAGATTCGGGACGTCCGGAGGCCCGTTTACGCGTGCCACACACATGATTTGGCAAAACGAGGGGCGATCTGGAACTCGCGTGAGCATTCAGAAATGAATCAGGAGTCAAAAAGCGAATAACAAGTTCCAGGAAGAAGAAGAAGAAGAAGAAGAAGAAGAAGAAGAAGAAGAAGAAGAAAAAGGAGAAGTAGACGTATACCGACTTGACGTTTCGGATTCTCACTGGAACCCATCATCAGAGGCAGCCGCAGAGGACAGCAGTAGAGGCGCAAGGGGCGCAGTATCTATAGAACGCAGTCGCCAGCCTACCACCCGTCTACAATAATCAGCAGCAATCTCATTCATCGCTGCAGCACAGAATATGGTGGCGGGAGGTCATTGCGCTTGATAATTAAATGACTCAGACAGGTCGCAGCCCACGCGGTAATCACCTCTTGTGAGAATTTCGGCCTGGTCAAACTTGAAGGTGTGGCTGAGCCCCATCAAAAAAGCTACGATCTGGGAACAAGCGTCATTCCTCCCCACTGCAGGTGCATGCTCGGCCTTTCGCGTCCAGGGCAGTCTCCCAGTTTCTGTAAAGTAGTTGCTTTGCCCACAACTGCATTAGACCGGGTAAACGACTCCGAATATTGCCTGTCGTAGAAGTGGGCTTTTCAGCCTCATGACCTGGCGTCTGATGGTTGTTTCTGGTCTGTGTACAACTCCAACTCTAAGTGGAGTGAGGAGGTGACTGACAGTTTTCGAGACGTTCTTAACATGCGATAGTACTCGCCAAAATCTGGGATCGGTTGAATCTGGTGTCTATCCACATTAACGCCTGCACCAGAGGACAAATTTGAGCGGGTAATCGCTTGCTATAAGCAGTCGTCGAAGGTATTTTAATTAATCAACCGTGTCTTTCGGTTTACTGCACTGAGTCTCGGCACGCCGGTACAACGCCTTACACAACTGCGTTTGCGGCTGCTTAGGAGGTTGTTGCTGAAGCTCAGTACTTGAATCCTATCATTTGCTATCATTTTAGAATATAAAAATATTTGCTACAGACGAGGAGATCAAGGAAGACAAGCTGGTTGTCTTTTCTCTACTCCGTCGTGAATTATATGTCTAGAAAGACGGCGGTCAGATGTTCCTCGAATGCCATCACCGGATCCTGTTCGATAATGCAGAAGGCTCTATTCACAAACCGAGCCCAGATTTTGGGTCAGTGTTTTCGGAAGACCAGTGACTTCAACCACTGTAGGATGCTGCAGCATTGAGTCCTACAATCGGCGGACCCATTGGCTGGCCGATCAGTTCATGGATGGGACGCGTTTGCTCCCAGTGAGTTGTCTACCTACACTCAGAATCGTTTTCTGCAGAGGTGTCTCGATAACAACGTGTTGTCGAGGTGTATTTCATATGAACATCTGGTAGACACAGAACCGGCGAGACGGGCAGCATTTCAAAATGAAAGACGAATGCTCTGAGTGCTCCTTCAAGACTGTCGCCCCAGGAGATCGCATTCAACCTATCCCAGATTTCTGCTAGTGATACCGTACGTGGAGAGAGACCAGATTCAACCGGTATCCGATTTTGGCGAGTGATATCGTATGTTAAGAACGTCTCAAAAACTGTCGGTCGCCTTCTCACTCCACTTAGAGTTGGAGTTGTACACAGACCAGAAACAACCATCAGGCGCCAGGTCATGAAGCCGAAAAGCCCGCTGCCATGACAGGAAACGTCCGGAGTCGTTTGCCCGATCTAGTGCAGTTGCGGACAAAGCAACCACGTCGCAGAAACTGGGAGACTACTGCGAACGCGAATGTTCACGCATGCGCCTGCAGTGAGGAGGAATGACGCTAGCTCCCAGATCGCGATACATGTGATGAGACTCGGCCACACCTTCAGGTTGGATCAGGCCGAAATTCTCAAAAGAGATGACAACCGCGTGAGCTGCGAGCTGACTAAGTCATGATTCTCGAGTTCGCATTTAATTATCAAGCGGAATGACCTCCCGCCTCCATATTCTCTGCTGCTATTTTGCCTGCACAAAATACTTTACTGCAAGCGGAGGGCGCGGGAGTTCAAAAACCCCTGTAACAGTGAGGCAAAGGGCCGAATGACCGTCACGCCAACCACTATCAACGATGATGAAATCGCTCGCATTAACGGCTCGGGTGGGGATCGCCAAACAGTCATCACCGCAAATAGGACCTCAGCGAGTTGTACACGGACCAAAAACAACCATCAGGCGCCAGGTCATTAAGCTGAAAAGCCCACTACCACGACATGCAACATTCGGAGTCGTTTACCCTGGTCTAATGCAGTTGTAGGCAAAGCAACTTCTTCGCAGAAACTGGGAGACTGCCCTGGACGCGAATGTCCGAACATGCACCTGCAGTGAGGAGGAATGACGCTTGTTCCCAGATCGTAGCTTTTTTGATGGGGCTCAGCCACACCTTCAAGTTTGACCAGGCCGAAATTCTCACAAGAGGTGATAACCGCGTGGGCTGCGAGCTGAATGAGTCACGCTTCTCTAGTTCGCATTTTATTAACAAGCGAAATGACCTTTCACCTCCATATTCCGTGCTGCAATTTTGCCAGCAAAAAATAATTGGCCACGAGCGGAGGGCGCTGGGAGACCAACTATCCCGGTAACGATGAGGCAAAGCGCCGTATGACCGTCACATCAACCATTAACAACGGTGACGAAATCGCGGCCATTAACGACTCGGGTGGGGGTTGACAAACAGTCATCACAGCAAATATGACCCCAGCGATGAATGCGATTGCTTTTGATCATCACAGTCGAATGGTTGTCGGACAACTGCCTCCTATGGATACTACGCTCCTTGTGCCTCTAATACCATTTCCTGCGGCTGCCTCCGGTGATGGGTTCCAGTGTGAATCTGAAACGTCAGGCGAATAAACTTCCTGTTTTAGTGATCGCATCTTGTTCAGTATTTGACTGTCTTCTGTGTAAATGTTACTTATCGGTCCTGCAGGCCTGCCGTCGTAATAAAATCAGACGTGACCACCTTCGCTTTTTGCAAGTCTTTACTGCCGACTAGACTGAGGTTTTGGATTTTTCCCTCAGACGTCACCTGAACACTCACTTTCTGGGCAGATTTTGCGTTATCATCGTCGCCCATGTCACATTAAGGTTTCTCCCCTCGCAACGCGTAAGTTATGCAGCTATAACTTACATTTAACACATTCCTTTACCGCCTTCAAAACTAGTGCGGGTGAGTGTGTGTGTACGTGGTTGCCGCATTTTACTGACACCGCGTCTGCTCCAAATTTAACTTTACAAACGCGGGGCGAAGGCATCCTTCACTTCTAAAAATAACCTCTTGCCCTATTTTCTACCGGCACCATTTAGCAAGTCACATGTAAAATGTTCAACTTAACCTTCGAACAAACTGTTTCTTGTACATCCTCTGACACCAAGCAGGCAGCCGCTGTTTTCGCCTGCTCCGACGTGGCTTAAAAGTGATCTCCCGTCTTACCCTATCTTGCCTGTAGATCCAACTCAGATTGATGCCATTTGTGGTCTCTGGACTCATTATTTTTTTCCGTCCTACGGAAGCTCGCTTCCTCTTTATCTCGGTTTCAACCGAAGAGAGGAATTGAGAAACCTCGACTCACAACTTGCCGCGAAGTGGGCCGTCAAAATTATCGATTACCACGAGCGAACCTCGCTTGCGTCGACTCACCGGTTGAGTTCACGTGCTTCTGTGTGAGGGGTGGGGATTGCTAAATTAGAGCCGTCAAGATACTCAGAAATGTACTCCGGTGCGTGCATATGGTTTAACTGGGACTGTTGTAAGGTTGGGCTTGTTAGAAGAGCAAAAATAGTAGTTTGAACGGATAGAGTAGACTGAAGGAGTACAAACTTCAAAAAACACACCGATCACATGAAGGAGGACCTGGGTAAGTCATATATGGAAACACCCGGAAACTGAGAGAAGCCCTTGTGCTATGCGGTCCGAACGCAGATAACGATTCCAGGAGACGTACACAACTTAAGTGGTTGACACCTTTTGGCGCAGTCGCGGGGGTCAGTAAGCTCGCGTACTTCAGGTTGCTGGAAGTTTGCACGACGTAGAAACCGCTGCATTCCGGACAGGTCAGCTCTGTTAGCATCTTCTGAGGCATTTCTCAGTCTGCGCCTATTTCTGTGTCCTACAGGGTTGGCTGATCGGAACGTCCGCTCGGCACCGACCTTTACTTGGCCGTATGTCCTTTCTCTGCCAGGTTCCCCAGTGGGGATGTATTTCCCAAAAGATTACGTCGCATTAGTAGGCAAAGGCTGTTACTAACAGTGGATTACATTTGCTATTGTCCACAAATTAATAAAGATTTTATCATTATTTTTTATGCTTATAAATTTAACCTGATTTTGGGGTCGTAAAAGACTCGGTCCGAGTCAATATGTGTCCATTGTCCTACTGCGAAGGGTTTGCTGTGTAACGCGGCGGAAAAAGTAGCTTGTGATGCAACCCAGTAAGAAGGCAATGTCAAAATTCGAAAAAGTCAACAGAGACGAGAGGGCGTGATTACAGTCCGAGAACTTAGAGTCTCGACTCCAGATCCTCAAGATGGGTGTTCTCTGGCTATGTGAAGTCCTTATTTCGAGCAGCCTGCAGCATAGAAAATGTGTCTTGTAAGAACACTGGTCAAGCACAAAACCGTTTGTTCACTTTTCTGAACTTTCAAACACGTGCAGGAGTCCGTCGTCAGAGATAACAGCAACAACAGAAAAAGGAAGATCTATAGGAAACACTAGCCAATCAGCAGTCAGTGGCATAGGTTTGGGGATGACTGCGTAGGGCCCCCCATGCCAGCGCCAGACCGACGCATCGATTGACTAAGTTCTCATCTGAGTCCCCGCTTTCAATCCGTTCTCGGCTTGCCTTGCGTCCGGAATTTGACATTATCTTGGCAGCGGCGGAGTTGAACTCGTGACCTATTTCGAAGGCGTGGACTGCTCTTGGCAATAATTCCTCAACCCCCATCGTTCGGCAAGCTTATGTTCGTGTACGTGCGATCTGTGCATGCTTTCAGTCTGACTTACGTAGTTACAAGGACATTTTTAGCAGAGGATACGAATTACTACACCAGGCTGTCCTCCGTGGTTTAAAGAGCTCTTAATTTTCATGACTCTGCTGCGCGTTGGGCCGGTTCGCAATTCCAATACCCGGCCCCGCAGCTAGGCTCTTGATCGCCTTTGAAACACCCTTGATGTATGACAGAGCATGCCTATCCTCCGTAGTGTTTCTGTTCTCATCCTCAGGGAACAAATAGCTGAACATCGACGTATAAACACCCCCGAGTGGGCATACTACATAAATTGTTTACGGTGTTATTCGGACCTACTCGCTTCTCCCTCCGATTTACAGAAGGGAGTCTGAATCCGTTTAAAGAGTCTTCTCATACGGTTTCTCTTGTGAGCCAGCGGATGTTTGCTGTGTGGTGTTCGTTGCCCTCCTTTAAACGGTCCTCGCCTGAGTACCACATCACAGAAGCGCAGCAGTTGCTCCATTCCTTCCTTCTCCGCTAATTGTGTTTCCGGGGAGACTGTTTTGAGCTCAGCTCATTGGATTCAATGCCAAATTATGCCAGACATGGCTAATTCAGTCTGAATTGTCACCTTTTTTGACATCAACCAGCGTGGCAAAATGTACTCACGAAAAACCACGATGCTTATTTTTTTTTGCTCGGCACATGTGTTTTTTTATTAAGCAAAGCTGTCTCTACATCCCGAATTCAAGACCTGAGTCCTACGGGCTGGTGATTGATGCTTAGACAACCGACAATGGGAACTGTGCCAGAGATGGGTTTCAAAATTCATCCTGCCCAAAATTAAGAATATTCTTAAACGTGAGCGCACGCGCACCTGATAGAACGGGAAATCAAGTCGTTTCCTAGGCAGTTGGTCTGATTTCCGTTTTTCTTTAGAGGAAACGAGATTGGCCTAAAGGAAGTAAACCTGGACCTACTCATTGGCATCTTTAGCACTAGAAGGCAAGCGGATAATCATTTACGCGGAGCCATGTAAGTGACAGATTGAAGCACTGTTTTCCCGAAATAAGTTTGAACAAGGCGAAGGGGACGAAGCATGGAGGATTTAATGGCGTCGTAAAGTTTCGTGATCTCTTATGCAACTGCGTATGGTCATTGATTATAAATATAAGACAAACTGTCCAACTAAATAGCGACCTTGAGGGGCGAAGTGTGATAGGTAAAAAAAGGATTGACTATTGGTCTGATATGTGGGTACGCATGGAAGGGGGAGGTAAGCGGGAGGGAAGCTGCCCAGGCAAACTAGTTTAGGTTACAGGCGAACGTGATTAAAATTGCAACGCGCTGACAGCAGTCAGCAATGCAGGGAAGAGAGGGGGGTGTGCAGACGGGAGAGGGAATTGGATTTCGTCAATTTATTGATCGCTGTCATGGCAGTGCGAAGTTGATCATGTGATCTGCCTGCTTACAGGTGTCAGTTCCTCTCTCAGTATTGCAGCATCGTCTGCAAGGCGCAGGAGACGTTCGGTCGTCGCCCGAAGTAGGACCGTAAATGGAGTCATTAAGTCCGCTGTATGGTCAGTAGGTGCTTCGTTATTGAACTCCCGGGTACCTGGATCACGGAATTTTATGGAGTCATTAAATTCTGCATGTTTCGTCGCGTTTGCCTTCGAAAGGGAGGAGAGAGAGAGTCTTTTCAACGGTGTTTCCCGTAAGTAAAGTAGTTTTTTAGCCAACCCTGGGCCATGTGTAGGATCACATTTGAAGAGACTATTGCATTTCCACACCAGAACATTTTACAGAAACACTAACCCCTAAATGGTCATTAGATCTAGCCAAGAAACAGGAATACATTATCTCGAATCTGGGCTGAAATGATAGTGCGAGTACTCCCGAGGTTCGAAGTTTTCGAAAACTAATATCGAGGAGGAGCTTGGAAAGATCCAGGACTTGTTTCGCGAAAATGGGCTTCCTAGAAGGTTTATTGCAAAGAATATTTTCGAGCAACCGAAAGAACCCACCATCCTGAACTCCAAAATGTAACCTCCGTCCCCCAAAGTCCTTTTCTGAGAAAACGTTGCGAGTGAACTCCTAAGAAGACGCCTTGATCAAGCTGTTTTACAAACATTCCGAGCAGCAGGGGTCCGAATACTATTCTCTGTCAACAGCATTTTACGCGGCGAAGGTAAGAACGGGCTGCTATCTCAGTGTACATCTACTCCTTCACTTGCTCCTCTATGGCAGGTTATATCGGCCGCGCGGGTCGGACCCTATCCAAAAGAATACGGAAACACCCCCGGCATGGCTGGGAAAAGGCGAAGCAAAAAGTGCTGACCAGAGCTGTGAAGGAAAAGGACAAACACAAATGTTTTCTGGAGAGCAATACACTTAATTAAAGTGCAAGTGAGTATCACCATGCGAAGAGCTTAACTTTTTACCGATCGATATAATTATGCCCTACTGACTGCACAGAAGACTGATTAGAGTTTTGTCCTATCATCTGCTTGCCCGTGTTAAAGTGGATTTTGTCATATATTCAATCTGGCCCTTGTGGAAAACTGTCTCAGATAGTCACCCCCTCCCCCCTCAACAGATGTTGTGACTCAAGGGGACTTCATAAAAGTCAAGCGGACATCCCGACAGAGGCTTATGAATAATCAAAAAGACAGTTAGGTGTTCCCTGTGTGTAAACGTCCAGTCATTTTCGCTCGGCGCATTTTCTGCATACCAGCCCTTGTTCTCGGTTCTTTTGCAACTGAGTTCTGAGCTAGCGCAGAGGTATCTTACGTCCTGGCAGCGGAATCTGCCCCTGACAGTGAAAGAGAGAGCCCACGTGAATTGGACTCAATAGACGACCCCTGACACTGGACTTTCAGTAGAAGCCACACCCTTCCTCCATTTATTTTTTAAAGGCAATTAGGAAAAAAAGCATGAGACATACATCAAGGCACTTTTATGCATTTTGGAAGAAAAATACTGCTCAAGCGTTGCTGCACTACTGATAAGGCAGAAGCGTTGTTGCAAAGTAGAATGTCGATTTTCAGGCGAATTTACCTCCACTCCGTCTTGTCAATAGCGTTAGTGGGAAGGGGGGCTGTTTCGGTGGTATGGACACTTTCTGTGAATTTTCCAGTACTTGGAAATAGCTTCTGTATCTCGTCGAAAGGTTGATCGAACTTTTGATGTCTTGTGCTCATTTCGTGGGAAGTTATGCCTACGTGAAACCGGACGCTTGAAATGCGATAATTTGTGGATACAGGCCAACTAGTGATCAGTGACCCAAGTCTAGAGGCGACTGCACAGGGCTCTTTATGCAGACACCAGATAGATCGATGCAGCGATCTGGCGCTAGGCTACAGCGATCTACGCAGTCACCTCCAGGCTTGCATCACTGATCTTTGATTGGCTCATACAGTTTCTTGTTCTATTGTCGGTTTTTTATCCCCTGTCGCTTTTATCCCTCTAACCTGTTGTCGCTTTTGTTGCGAGGAAGCAATATGCCGTCTCAACATTTATCCGACAGTTTTACTACTATCGCTCTTTGTGGCAATCCGCGCCTCCTAGCTCTCCTTCGCTTTGTCACGCTGCCCTCCTGCCCGCCTCACACTCCCTGTCAATCCGCTGGTGGGGCGCGCGAGCGCTCGAGGCCAATGAGCGCTGTCCCTTCTCTGATTGGCTGGCGACAGTGAGGCAGAGAGAACGGCGCACATACGCGCTCGGGTCTAGGCGCCTCTACGGCGTATACAAACACAACTTGCTTGGAGAGGCCACTCGCAGTGACTGCTTTCAGAGCCTTGTATACACACTTCGTCGGCAGTAAAAGTTGTTCACCCCAATCCTCCTTCCTTGACTTCTGATTTGTGAACATCTGACTTGTCGATCATACCATCCGACACGCTTTCCTTTCCGTCGTTTAGCCCCACCCATTTAACCCATACTACACAATGACCTGGTTTTTGTTCTCTGAGTGGAATCGCATGCTGCGCACTTGCCAATCAGACAAATACGACGATCGACCAGCTTTCTCCATTCTTACTCTCACATGCGCCTGAAACTCAAAAATTCGCCTCCAATACGACTATTTGTGCGATTGTTCATTTTACTAAACAGACGCACATCCATGATTTGCGTGTGTGGTTGGGTTACAGTGAAATTCCCCACAGAGCAGACATGAAAAGTTAGATTAACACTCATCCTAAGAAGTAAAATCAAACCAATACATCCGCATAAAAACTATGAAAGGCATGCACCTTATTGGAGTTGTGATATTTTGTGACCAGGTGTCTGGAGATATTACCAGCCTGAAGTTAGTATGCTACCGCATGGGAACAGATTAAAATCAGTAGTTAAATCCAACTTTTTTCTACCTGACTGCATGATCAAAATTACAAGTCAATGTTTCTCGGGTTTCAGTTACCTTGTTGAGAGTTGGTCTCTCTGTAGCTCTCAAGACGTGCAGTAGAGTCTATATTACCAACGTGAACTTGAAAATACCCGTCTTTAAACACCTGGCCCGTGTCGTGCAATTACGACCTCTAATTTTTTGCGCATTGTGATACTCATGGACTGCGGGGGACTATTTCCGTGGAAAGAACGCATCTCTCGGGTCTAAAATGCTTTCGTCAGCAAAATTTTACCCTTGGGGACAATTTTAAATTGTTTAATGAACTAAAGCCTTAGGGCACGAGCCAATGCGGTCTTTGCAGTGACGTGAAAACAGCGCGAGTAAACTCTCAAACTACTGCTTAACGTGATAGGATGAAATCTGTCTCTGTCTCTGCCTCTCTCTCTCACACACACACAGCCGGGGTAACTTTGTTGGTAACCCTGTCGGTCAGACGATTATAATGCAGTCGAGCGTGTTATTGTATGTTTGCTATCCGCAAACACGCCTCCAATTGACCAGCGAACTTTGCCGTTGCCTTGGTTGGACGGTAAGTGGCAACCTGCCTGACCTAGAGGCCACACCCCGGTAACCGCCTCGATCAGTGGGCTAAAACCGACGAGGGTATCCGGTGCCGTGTGTTCTCTACACGCTGTAATTCTTCTCCCATTCCCGTCCCCCCCCGCCCTTCTCTCCAATCCCCCCACTCCCCCCTTCCCGCCCGTCACGTCTCCCACTAATCTCCACCCTCCATCCTTCCAATTAAATTATTCACACATAGAGGGCGACGTTCAAGCCTAAGCGACCCAAGCTAACTCTATCGCAGAAGCCTTAGCCAAGAGTGAAAGATCGTGCCTACCACGACCTACAGGCCCGGTCCCGAAAGGAAAGAGTTGGCAACCGGACTAAGGCCCGTCCGGCGCCAGGTGAGCGGACTTCAAAGAGTGTGAGGGATTACGTCAAAGCATCTAAAGTCAGGATACGTCTGACTCTGCCTTGTACCTGATTGGCCAGTTGGGAGGCCGAGTGGGAGAATGCCAGACAGTCCTGGTGCCCACGTGCAGACACACGTGAGAGACCCTGAATTTCAGCAGGCGCTCGGAGTAGGACCACTACAACTCGGGTGGTTCTCCCATTAACTAAAGCTGTGGCCCATAGTGGAATTTGGCAGCTATTTGAGATGCTCAAACAGTCCTAATTAGGACAGGCACTGCTTGTCTCTTCACGGAAAGGAAATGGAAACGATGTCCTAAACAAATGCTGAGAACACATTATTTGTATACAGGCTGTGGCTCCTAGGTAAACAACTCAAGGTCAAAACAATCAAACAAACAACAGCCCTCGTCTTCGCTCCCTCGCCCCGTCTTACAAGCTGCTGGGGTGAGTTTTCTACTTTGGCAAACATAAATTGCCTTTCCCTTTTAGACAATCCAAAAAGCAGTCAGTCGGAACGAAGGGCGACGTTACTCGCACGAGAACTGGCGCGTTACAAGTTGGGCATTGTTTCTCTCAGCGAAACCTGCTTCTTCCAACAAGACCAACAGGAGGAGGTGGGTGCTGGCAACACCTTCCGGAGCGGTCGCCTAAAGGCAGACCGACGCGACGCAGGTATCCCCTTTGCCATTCGGAGCGACACCATGGGGCGACTCTTTTGTCTGTCGCAGGACGTCAACAAGCGCTTAGTGGGTTTGTGCTTGTCCTTTCGGGGAGCCAAATTAGTGTTCATCTGCAGTGCCTACGCCCCCCTTCCCCCAAATGATCAACCCCAGCGAAGTGAAGGCTGAATTCTACAGAGGTCTGCACGACCTCTTGGCGTTTGTGCCGAAGGCGAACAAGCTAGTGGTGTCAACGGCGGACTGCTACTCATTTGACGGTCTTGGATGCCCTCGGAAGTTCATGTCGTCAGCGCCAGGACTGACACAGTCGTCAGCCATCTCCTCGCTGAAAAGCACAGGCTGCACGAGTTCTGTATGAACTATCGAACCGATTCCGCCAAAGCGGTCGTCTTCCTCGATCGCCACTTCGTGCAGCAGCGACTGCTGGACTTAAAAGACCGACTAGGTTCAGGGGTATGCTGACGGCAATGAGATCATGGACTTCATCGTATCAGTCTAGGCGGTCAACGGCCCTCCAACCACAGGAACCATGCCATTTATCAGATCCAACAGAACGGCGCTGCTGGCGGAGAAATCGGATTTTGAAATTCTGGGCAGAGTACTTTAGAAATGTCCCCAACCGCTCATCTACAAGTTCCGTCGACTCCATCGGACGACTCCCTCAAATGGAAACGAACAACGGCCTGGATCTCTTGCCTTTGCTCGAAGAAACAATCCGAGTCGTGCACCGACTCACCAATGGGAGAGCACTGGGGTCCAACGCGGTTCTTGTCTGCACGACTGCCTCCGGCTGAATGATCAAAATACAACGCTATTCCAGGGAATGTGATGTTAAGTATGACTTCCTCAGGATTTCAGGGGTGCGATAATCGTCCATCCTTACCAATAGAAGGGAAACCGACAACTCTGTGATGACCACAGAAGAGTCCCACTGCTCCTCATCACCAGGAACATCTTCGCTCGCATCGTCACAATGGCCATCTCGAACACGGACTTCTGCCGGAAAGTTAATTTGAATTTGGACCCCGCCATGGAACCATTCACATAATCCTCGCTGCCCGCCAGCTTCCAAGAGATGCAGATCCACCTCTGCCACCACTGCCTTCGTTGACTTGGCGAAAACGCTGGACACGGCGACTCGCGTTGGCTTGGGAAAATCATGCAGAAATTCGGGTGTCTGGACTGATTCACGCATATGGTACTTCAGCTTCACAAAGGGATGATGGCGCGCAGCACGAACAATCGGGCCGTCTCAAAGGCATCAGCAATAACCAACGCAGTGATGACAGGACGAATAGGGCTCATATTTAGTGACATGCTGATGGACATCAATCATGACGTGCGTCCGGGGATCCACATCGTCTGCAAGATCGACGGTTATCCTCTTAGTGACCTGTGCATTCAGGCCTCAACGCGTCTGAATACGACTACTATTCACGATCTGCTCTTCGCTGACGACGTCTCACTCAACGCCGTGACAGTAGCTGACATTCAACGGAGCATGGAACTCTTCATCACCCGCTGCACCAATTTCGGATTCACCAGCAGTACGGACAAAACGGGGGTCATGCGTCATTCATCACCCAACGCTGCATAGATTGTACCTCTCGTCTACACCAACAGGATCCAACTGAAGGCCGTGGACAACTTTGTCTACTTAGGCACCATACTCACATGTTGTATCAAAATCGATGACGAAGTGGCTGAGCGGATCTCCGAAGCCTGCCAAGCCTTCGATTGGCTGCAGAATATTTTATGGAATACCCACGGTCTCAACCGTAACTAAAAACTGAACATGCACGAAGCGGCCATCTTGACGAATTTGCTGAACGGCGTGGGACCTGGACAAACTATGAGACACAAGTGGGAAAGCTCACTCACTTTCACATCAGTTGTCTCTGTCGGATACTAAAGGATAAGGTGAAAGGACAGAATACCGGACTCAAAATTTTTGACAGATAATGGAATCCTTCGCATCCATGTCATGCTAAGGCAACTGCGACCAACCTGGAGCAGCCACCTCGTGAGGATGGTCAACGACCGCCTACCAAAACATCTCTTCTACAGAGATGTCGCCACTCGTGCTAGCCAACAAGGACGTCAAACGCGTCGCTAAAAGGTCACCTTGGAACGTTCACTGGAGTGACTACATATCAACCGGAGGACCTGGGAAGATTTCGCACGTAACCGACCGTTCTGACGAAGGGCAATTGAACCTGGAGCATTCATCTATGAAGACAGCCGGATCGCTGATGCCAAAGCCGAAAGAGGAGGTCCCACGTCCCAGGAGCCCCTGACCCGCAACATCAACCGTAAACCACTACTAACATGCCCGTACTGTCAACGAACATTCCGCGAGTAGACCGGCCTTGTCGTCCATCTCCGGACTCTATGAACCAGCCCGACAACCCCACTCGCTGACTCCTCTACTGCTTTTATTCCAACCCCAACGACATCCGTGCGACGACATTGCTCACTACCGATGCTTAGCGCTCCCTGTCCTGCTGCTGTCGGTCACCGCCATCTCCATCATCCTTGTCATAACCTCCACAGCGACAACGATCACCGCAAGTCCCACTCCCCGCCACCACCAGTCACCACACATACTAATGCCATTACCATCGCCATCATCACCACCTCCTCCAACGATGCAGACTCAGTTGTAAAATCAGTCACCACCACTAAATCGCGCGGAAATCGCCGATTCTGCTCTCATTCCGCCGTGGCTCACATGGTGGACGTCGTCAGTAACGGCGGTTGAATTATAATGACCTCTATATCCTAACTTGAAGCGTTGGCCCCGCCATATGGAAGAGGGTGGGCGAGACTAAATGGAGGGGCCAAAAGCTGGAGTTTCCATAGGCGGCCCAGTCAATCTTAAACTAACGAAAACAAAAAACGGGAAGGCAGTTTACTTGCGTGATTTTTTTCCAGGGAAGCCAGCGCTACAAGCGTGCACCAAAATGTCATGACATGAACATTTTTCCACATTTGACATGACAAACTTGTTTTATTAGTTGCAAAATGACACCTACTGTCAGTTTGAATAAGTGCTCTACAGCACCATCTGCGGCCTCTGCACGTCACGACATAGACAATTCCGCAGGGCATTCGAATACTCTTGATGCTGAGATCTTTAAACATAACACTACGCCCGGTACACAAGCGTCCCTGCCAACTCCCCCGGCAACCCCTAGTAAACATTAGCAAGTGCTTAATTCAAGGACAAGTCCTAGGGCCGTTTTAGCCATTCGAACACCGAGTAAGTCCAATTACTTTAAGAAATATTTTCATTCACACTCGTCTGCCATTGACTCAAACTACTTGACCCCAAACATGGCGTGTTTCCAACTACTCCCGAGACATCAAGTGGAAGCGTTCAGGCCGAAAATGCCCACACTCCCGTCTTTTAATGGAATTACTGCCTCAATAGAAGCAGCGCACCTCCCACTCTCCAACATGTTTCCTCCACGGCCGTCTTACCCATGTACTCTTCACGCTATTGTCCATGCTGGGTCAATTAACCCACCCGTTCCTCAGTTCCATTCCCCTGGGAATGCGTTACAGAATCCGGCCCGCAGATTTCCAGCAGAATATGATCCAGCTAACAATAGTAATCAGTTTTCCTGGCCGTCATTTTCTCCTCTACATTCTACTCCTCTTTATCCACGTCAGGGATTTTCTATGCCACATAATATTTTACAGGATCGGATGGGTGCAACCGGACACTAGGTTCCGTGGGTAGCCAACCACTGGACTACGTAGCCCACCTCCCGCAAAAAAATAGTCTTCTTCCTCAAACGTTTTTTTCTAAATGTCAGATCCCTGCAAAATCAGATGACTCTGCTTCAGACTCTGATGTTTTTCCATTGTCCAGATATTTTTTAGTAAGTGAGACATGGGCATCAATCCTCGTAGCTGATTCAGAACTCTCTTTTATAGGCCATACTTGCGTTCGAAATGATCGTCAAGAGAGCCGTGGCGGGCGCAGTTGCATCCGAGTTAAGCAAAAACTTACGTTTCTGCCGCTGGACCTCTTGCATTTTTCCGCGGTAGCAGGCAGCTGCCGGCTCCAAGCTTCACTTAACATTGGTTCTCTTTAACCGTTGGCTGTGTCTATCACCCTCTGAACGCCAATGGGAATTTCATGGCATTTCATGTTCCGGCCGATTTAAGCTGTGAGTATCAATTGGCTGCGGATGACATTAATCTTCCTGAAGTCCGCTGGTTTCCACCTCCCGGCCACAAATATTCAAAGACATTCTTGAGGCTGTGGATGTTGGGATGTGGAGTCAGGTTGTTGACTTTCCGACCAAAGAGTCAAGTAAACACAAGGATCTAACTTTCTGCAGAAGTTCCATGCCTATATCAGTGTCATCCCTAGGCCCACTCAGGGAGTCAGACAAAGACATAGATGTTACAAAGTAAAAGCTCAAGGCTGACAACATTTTGTCCTCAAAGAATGGATTCTTCCTTGATTTCTGAACAACACGCTTGACATCTAACGCAAGTTGCATTCCACCTTACGAGACGCGTTCGGGTAATCTATAGCTGATGCCCAGTTGATCGCTGATGGTGTCGATGCTTTCGTGTCCGAAACTTATATTCAAAACTCGACCGCTCCACTTCCGACCACCCACGCATTGACCGGGGCAGTTCTCAAAACTATGATTTTCACTCTATGGGATGTGACTGTTGTGATTCGGCGTCTTCGTCAATCTCATAGCCCTGGAACTGATGGTGTCCCAGTTAGCATTCTCAAAGCGGATGCAAATGCAATTTTACCATGCCTCTTATGCAAGATATTTAATCTCGCTCTTGAAAGTGAAATCTATCCTACTTTGTGGAAGGAGTCACACATTTTACCCATTGCCAAACATGGCCAATCTACGTCATTTGGTGACTTTCGGCCAATAAACACCCTCTCGGCAGTTTCAAATGTCTTAGAGACATTAATCAAAGATAGGATGATGTGTCATTTAACAGAAAATAACCTACTGAACGCTGCAGAACATGGATTTCTCAATGCTCGGTCTTGTGACATCTGTCAGCTCTCTTTCTTTGATCATGTTCTCCAATCTAGGGACAGTGGTTTTGCACTTTACACAGTATATTTCCATTTCACTAAGGCTTTTAATCATGTTGACCATGCTCTTCTTCTCTTAAAACTGTCATCTTTCGGAATAGGTGGCAAAATTCTGCATTTTATATCCTCTTACCTGAGCACTCGTACATAACGAGTTAAGATTTGCAATGCTATTTCCAATCCCATATGTGTGAGCAGTGGAGTCATTCAGGGTAGTGTACTCCTCCTGATATTACTCTGCCTTTTTGTTAGCGATGTACCAGATTTATTTCTGAATGCTAAGCCCTTCACGTATGCCGATGATCTGAAAGTTGCATATAGGTATACATCGGTAGATCGTGTCATCTTGCTTGAGCTCCTAAAGACCGACCTACAGGCCTTTGTACCGTGGTGCCTCACATGGCGCCTTTCTCTTGACATAAATGCTCAGTCATGGTGGTTGGCGACGATCACCAACCTCAACTATGTATTGACGGTCACGACATAAATGTGCCTGGGGTTATTACTGATCCGGGAGTATCATGGTACCCCGACGGGACTTTAACAAATATAATTGAATTGAATTGAATTGAATCATACTCCAAGATTCTCAATCTTTCGGAACACTGCGCCCTGATGGTCTCCAAAGCACGTAGAATGATCGGGTATATCCTCCAAAACTTTAAAGCCAGCGATATTAGAATGCGCCTTTATAACATGGTATAGAATACTGTCCGTTTTTATTTAGCCTCATGCGTGCTGCTGAGCGGAAAAAATACAATCCGTCCAACAATTTTTTTACCAAGAGAGTTTTAACCCCGGAACACCGAAATTTGTCTTACCAAAAACGTTACGGCTTATATGCCTTAATCCCTTATGGCTTCCTAGATTACAAAAGGTACTATTTTTATTATTTAATCTTTTATATAATCGTACCTTTAACCCACTCACTACTTTAAGACATCTTTTCCACCCTCGACGTAACACTTTCCATGAAGTCCTTTTGTTTCTTTCCCTGCCAATTACCTTTAAATATCGTCGACCCTTTTCTGTGAATCCGATCGCTATTTGGAACAAACTATCCAGGAATATGAAAACCCTGCAAAATTTCCCCTTGTTTAAGATAGACAGATAGATAATTTTTATTAAAGACCCGTCGGGGTCCCATCAAAGCAAGTTAAAATAAATTTGCATGCGAGTTTTAGACGAGTTAGGCCGAATCTTTACAAAATGCAATTCCTAGTTTCCAAATTAGAAGTCCATTGAGAAACATGATGATTGAGGGGTGAAAAAAAACTCCTAAGAAAAAGTTAAAAATGATTGGATTAATTTTACAGGAGAAAAAAACCCCTCTTTAAAAATAATAACAGAAAAAAGCGAGCAGGACTGGCCTGTGGGTGGCGGTATATAACGGAAAATTGTCGGTCATCGTCAGGGTATCAATAAATGTCCGCCTTGATGGGTACGAATGTGGGTCAGACAGAACTGGCTTGCAAATGGCATTGTATACGGGATTCACAATTGAGATCGTC